TTTGGGTTTGTAAATTACATTCTGGATGTAATTTTTTTTAATTAGCAATAAGTGTGGTGGCTTTTAAAGCAGAGCAATGAGCAGAAAAGGGTAACAACAAGTATAGGCTAGTTAATAAAATAATATTGTAATATAAGTAAGGCCACAACCTTCTTCTTTCTGTTGGCCTATTTGAGAGTAAATAGACTTGCCAGTATCACTTAGGCTAGGTCAAATGAACTGTTTTAAAATTTTGTGACAGCGTTTACACTTTACAAGATCACGTCTGATGTAAGTTAGGCCTCATTTTCGTTACAACAAATCACGAAATCCAATTCAGAAATATCGTTATCAAAAAAAGAGCTTTTGATTTTTTTTTTTTTCTTCATTATATCCCAAAGCTTACAGGGTAGTAGCATGCAAACGGCGTCTCGCTGCTCGGTTATTTGTTGAAGAAAACATATATTATCAAACACACACACACACACACACACACACACACACACACACACACACACACACACACACACACACACACACAGGCTCGACTAACATAAAAAAAGTTAGTGATTTTTGTTTGTACCCGGGAATGTTGATTAAGCATTATTTTTGCATTAATAGTTATTCCAATCCAAGTAGCCATCCTCTCTGCATGCCATGCTTTCAAAAATAATTTTAAAAACTAATTTTGCCTATATCTCTTTATTTTGAATTAACGTTAATAAATGCCATTTAAAATCCCACCTGAGAATCATTAATGCGCTTTGACACCTATAACATAAGGCGATAGATGACACAGGGCTGGCGCAGGTTGGCTCTCACAGGACCTACACTACATTAACTGTATTACAGCCTGGGAATGAGCTGCAGCGAGAGGCGGGACTCGCTGCACTGATGCTATTACACACCAATCAAGGGACGCACTGCAGCTGTAAACAATGATGGACGGTCGTAAATATAAAGGCGTAAATGAACTTGAAGTAACAAAAAACAAGAACGAAAAATAAATGTGTATGTTTTTTTTTTTTGTTTTTTTTTTTAAAAAGCCGAAGTAATATTAACTCCTTCACAATATACAATTCTTTCAAGTTTTAAGATTTTTCTTTTCGTCTTCAGGTATGGCAAATCTCTAAATCGGCTACAGTATGTGAGGCTTTATGCATGTATTCGGTTTCCTTTAATTAGATTTCTACGGCTAAACGCCAAACCAAAGGGCCATTAAAGACCTTTAGAGGATATAGGATATATAGAGGTTTTTGCGGAAAACCTTATTTCATTTTGATACGAAGAGGCCTTGATTTTACATGATGATTTACGTCCAGGAAATGTGCGCAAACTTTCATTTTTAGACATTTATGAGTTTGTTGGCAAATTAGTTTGTTCATCTGCTCTGTCCCCTCAGCACTGCACGCTGTGTACTGCTGGACCTCGCACAGATACATACAGCACACGCATGAAGGCCTACAGCATGTCCATAATGACTGTATACCGTGAAATGAATTCAAGCTCAGATGTTTATTTTCTACGCATTTTGAATTAGCTCTCATTAAATATAAAGACAGTGCAGAGGACAGATTTACACACAGACTTCCAGCTGAACAAAGATATCAGAGTATAATACAGCGATATCTGAGTAAGATTGAACATATAGCTTTTATGATATAAACATGTATTATGTGGAGCAGGTTTCTTATTAATCCACCTAGATGAAAATGACGATGACAGGATATTATGTGCATGTAATGTCATAGTATTTGTTATATGTTAGAACTGTATACTGTAATATAGTGATTTATATGAACTGTAAAATCATTTTGTATTGCAGTGTCATTTAAATCATTTTTATATATGCCATTTAATAGACACCACAATTTCAGCTGGTGGCAAAAAATAAATAGAAAATAATAACAATAAAATTAAATTTTAAAAAGTACTTCAAATCCAAAATAGTTTGGATTAAGCATCAGCTCCTCGGAGGAGGAACCAATTGATTATGAAGAGACCCAGACTCTTTGGAAGGAGAAAGGGCCCCCTGTTGTTTCAAACCAACTACTCTAACTTCCCAAAGTGCAGGGGCCCAGAGGCAGGGCTGTGCGGAGAGTGTGTGCCTCCAGTAAAAGGCTGCAGAGCGACTCCTCTGAAGCAGCAGTGGGGTTGGGTGGTGAGGACGGGCTTGTAGGATACATTAAATCAGCCTGATTAGGAGTTTAGGCGAGGGCAAGGCTCAGGTCTGACTGAAAGGCTGCTGGGCAGCCCTTGAGTGATACTATTCACATCCAAGGAGAAAGGTCAGTGTCAGAGGAGTTCACAGGCCCCATCTCCATTCTTATGCTAAGGGATCATACACATAGGCTCATTCAGGGACTGGAAAGGCATAAACAGCTCCTACCGACTTTCCCTCCAAAATGTTCGGATTCCTCAACTTGAGCTGTGAGGTCCTGCCTCTCTGTTTCTCTCTCTTGTAGCTTCTGAAGTGGAAATTGGTTTTGATGTGAGATTATTGATTTGAATCTCTCTATCAATGCTTATTTACATTTAAATACTCTTGTAGCAAACTCTAACTAATGTTAAGACATTTTGTAGGAGAGAATATGCAGCATTCACTTTTTTTTTCTACACTTAGGCCACTGTCATGGCTATAGCGTTTTGTATTGAACGTCAATTTTATTTTGAAAATCCTCCTGTAAAAAGCTCATATGAGGTAAAGCTATTGTTGTTATCCACTTAGGAATGTAATAATTAATACTTACACCAGGTCTCCACTGCACTGAAGCTTTAGTGTTGTCCCTCACTTGGAAGTCGCATTGGACAAAAGCATCTCAAATGAATAAATGTAATGTAATGTAATATTTTCTGCTGTTCCAGTCACTATTTTTTTTTCTAATGACCAGGTTTTATTAACCTCCTATATATAGACTTCTTCACACATTTCCCTGTACGTCTCCGAGTCCAGCGGTCACTGGGGAATAGTAGGAAATAGCCACTTAATTAGCGGCCCTTGACCTTTGGCTCTGGCTCAGGCGGCTCCTGACCTCGGCATCTCTCCGGCCTGTTTATTGTCCTCTGGGGGACAAGTCCAGATCATGACCCCTGATCCCTGATGACCTGTAGGGACTTCACCAACAGGTCCCTGACCAGCTGCCCCGCCTCACAAGACACTCATCAAAAAGCAATATTTAACTAAAGTGACTTATTCAAGCAATTACCACTGCAGAGGTATGATAAGATACTGAGGCTGTTGTGATTATTCCTGGAGCTTTTCTAATATTTGTTTGCAGAAATAAACATAAAGCACACATTTGCAGAGCATACAGGGTAAATCCGACAGAATATGAAACATTTCTTTAATGATGAAAATCACGCCAGTGTAACAGTTTTTACAAAATCATTTGAACATTTGGGCTTTCGTTCCACCCAGGCTCTACAGAGGCTGATTTCACTAATTGGTTTCCATTCATCCAGAGAGGGGAACTAATCACCAAAATCAGCCTCTGTAGTGTTTGGATGGATTGAAAACATGCTGACTCCTGAATGGGCCTCTATGAGTGAGATCTCCAGTGCTACACGAGTATGATTTAGATTTAAGTGGATGAAAAAGAGTCGTTTTACATGCTGTTCATACTTATTTAATTGCATTGCCACTTGCTTCTGTCCTTAATTTTTACCTTCATTTTTCTTTTCTAGATGCTAGTAGATGTTCATGAGGTACATAGGATTAATTTCTCTCTTTCTCTTTTTTAAATCTACACTTATTTTTTTTCAAATGCTCTCTCTCTCTCTCTCTCTCTATCTATCTATCTATCTATCTATCTATCTATCTATCTATCTATCTATCTAGAGAGTGAGAGACTTTTCTATAAGACCATGATGTTATTACCATTTTATGCCTTGATTATTTGCAATGTTTTATTGTTTTCAAAAGTATATATTAAACATCTAAAATATAATAAATGAACAACTTAAATAGAAAAACACAGGGCTGTCATTTGTTATAATATTTTCCTGTCTACCCTATGTACAGTAATAAAATGCCAGACTCAGTCCTGACTGATGGACATGTCCGTGTTTTTCCTCTTTCCACATAAAGAGACGAAAATAATCCCCTGTTGACCCTGCGTGTGTCCATCTGTTGTTTGACTCCGGACACAGATCAGTTGGACACTGATTGAGGTCCGACTGACACCAGGTCAGCCTGTAATCCCAAAACCTGATTAATTGTCAAAACTGGGCCCTGAAGCAGAGCAATACATTTGGATTTCAAGTAAACAACACATTGAAATATAATCTTTTATCCAGATTTAAAAGATAAACAGATAATTTTTTTTTATTTAGTTACAGTGAAGGCCTTTGCTTTTTTGTGCAGCAGAAAATGTGCACAATGTAAAAATATCCGTTTACATTTCCCTGATAAATAAAATATGAAGGCAATGAACAAAACCTTATTATATATTTTAATAGCGGGCAGGGTCATTCTGTCCATAGAGTTTTGTGGCTGATGAACTTTTTCTTTCCCACACTGATTCAACACACGTCCCTCTGTCTGCTCCTCCTAATTAAAACTTAATGTGGGGTCATTCCAACATTTCTCACATGTTCCTCTCTCACACACACACACACACACATGCACTAATTTATGAATCTAAAAAAATAAAAAGAGTAAAAGGTCCTGCAGACTCTGACTTCCAGACATTTTGGCACTTTTCTATTTTCAAGTCACTTTTAATTTCTCCTTTTGAAGATTGAAAACAAAACGCTAAGAGTGTATAGAAATGTTTAATCTAACAAAATATGTTGTTTCTTTGTCTAATTGATTACTAAAATAAAACACCTACAACAGCGATGATATTTTTATAATTTTTATTTCAAAGGCGTATTATTGACATCGGTAAATTAAAAACAATATGCTTTAATGCATTCATATCAAATCACTGTAACAAATATTTCACTTTACACAAGAAAAAAAATGAATTAAATAATTGAAACATGCATGAAAATAGATATATAATGCTGAGTGTGAAGTAAGTAGGAACATCTAAGGCTTTTTTATTTGCAGTTTAAAAAAAAAAATCTAAAATCTAATCATATAAACATTAATCCAGCCTTTTAAAATACATTATTAACTTGGTATTTCCAAGGATAACAGACATCTTAAGCTATTCATTTCACATTTACACAACATATATTTTGTTTCTACATAGATTTCTTCTTGCAGCGTTTAGCTGACTGATAATCTCTAGAGTTCATGCTCTGGTGAGTCTCAACAATCTGATGACAGCATCTCTCTGAGTTCGGTCCACAATCTCCTCGTGCCAAAGCAGTTTCCTGCAGAGTGCAGAGAGTCTCACAGATCCTGTCCCGTCCTGAGGAGAAATGATGGAGGGAATCATTAGCATGAGAATCAAACTTGGCTCTATAAACTCTTCCACTCTGTGTGGAAACTAATAATATTTCACAGTTTTGGAAAGAAAGAAAGAAAGACAGAAAGAAAGAAAGAAAGAAAAAGTTCCTCTAGCATCACACAGTAAAAGTAAATTAGATTTGTAAAGAACTTAATATTAATTAAAAGCTGTGTTTATAAAGCTTGCAAAGTGCTGAGCAGTCAATAAAAACAGCAAGCACCTGCTATAAAAGAGATTAAAACAAAAACCAAAGGACCACAGGGTAAAAAGACTCACATAACAGTGAGCCTACAGAGATACATTTGAAGAACAACAATATAGAAAGAATGATAAAAACCCAAGCTATTTGGTTATTCCACATGATGAGTATGTTTTGACAACAGTGAATTTGCGGATACGTGTGATTTTTAGGTTTGTACACCAGATTTTGTAGACACTGTTTAAGAAAAACAAACTTCCTTTTCATGGCCTGTAAAAATAGGCCCCTGTGCTCTGCATGTTGTTCTTCTCTCCCATTTTCAGGCTGTATGCATGGAGGGATCTTGAGGCTTTTATCCCCACAGGGAACCAGCCTAAACTCTTTCTCTGTCAATTTTCACCCACTCCCCAATTCAGACAAGCCCTTTCTCCCACCAACCCCACAATGAAGGATTTGTCCTCATTCTCTTTGTCCACCTCTGATATCTTTTTTTTGACTGCTCCCTCTCTGCAGACGGCATGCAGCGTATGCAAATACACACTCTTTTATTCGTGAGACCCCTCCCCTGAATGAATGCAACCTTAAATGAGGCCACACTTTCACACATTTACAGAGGGGGCATGGAAACATGCACATATTACAATCAGTGGATTTGCATGCCCGCTCCGACACGCAGTCACTCAAACATCGAACACTGACCATTTTAAAATGAGAAGGCACAGAAATACACTGATGTCAGAGATCATTTTGTCTGTATGTCTTTGCAGGCCGTGTATCCAAACAGCTTGGTAACAGAAAGGATGAAAACAACAATAGCAGTAGAAGCTTATGTGAGGATACATTTACCATAAGTCTTTATGGGCACAGATACATCAAATACCCCACAGTTAACCATAGAAACGGCTAGTTAATTTCTATTCTCCCTGAGGAAGAAATCCTTTTGTTTGTTCTGTAATTTAATTGAGATTGAAGACAATGTCTGTTTTATGTTTCAGTGCTCTCTATATGATGATTTTAAGGGCTGTGTTTTTTTACAAAAATGCCCTTTATTTCTGATGACTTCTGATTGAAAGGACTCGAGAATTGATTTACAGAATTTGGGGAAGGAGACAAAGCCTTTTGTTTGCAATGCTTGCAAAGAAGTTAAGTTCTTTTCTGACGTCTCACCNTGGGGGGGTGACGTCTGCTGGACAGCTCTGACAGTTCGGCCTTTTCAGTCGTACATTACTGAGTCGACCGGCCTCTTTCCCATAGCAACCCAAACAGAGGTCAAAGGCTATGTACCTCCCCATCCACCCATCCACCCACCACCACCACCACCGCCACGTCCTCCTCTTGTACTCCAGGGTGGCCACAGACTCTCTGAACTCCTTGACCGGTCGCAGACAGAGTGGCTGCACCCATGAACTTGAACTTGACTGAGNGATGATTTTAAGGGCTGTGTTTTTTTACAAAAATGCCCTTTATTTCTGATGACTTCTGATTGAAAGGACTCGAGAATTGATTTACAGAATTTGGGGAAGGAGACAAAGCCTTTTGTTTGCAATGCTTGCAAAGAAGTTAAGTTCTTTTCTGACGTCTCACCTCAGTAATGCCACAATGCACACACAAACACACACACACACAATGATGATGTGTAGGATGAGGCTGAGAAAGGAGACAGAAGCGGTTTAACAGAATGCACTGAGGAAGAGGTGTGGACCGTGTAACTCTAAAGTTCGGATGAATTACAACAGCGTCAGATGAACATAAAGCGCAGCTCTCGCCGCTAACATTCCCAAGCTGGCCCGTGCCATCTGTGAGTATGTGTGAATGGGTTGGAGTTAGTGTGTGTGTGTGTGTGTGTGTTTGGTGGAGGTTGGGGGGACGGGGGGTGGCGGGGGTGGGGGGGTGACGTCTGCTGGACAGCTCTGACAGTTCGGCCTTTTCAGTCGTACATTACTGAGTCGACCGGCCTCTTTCCCATAGCAACCCAAACAGAGGTCAAAGGCTATGTACCTCCCCATCCACCCATCCACCCACCACCACCACCACCGCCACGTCCTCCTCTTGTACTCCAGGGTGGCCACAGACTCTCTGAACTCCTTGACCGGTCGCAGACAGAGTGGCTGCACCCATGAACTTGAACTTGACTGAGTGACGGAGTCGTATATATACAACTGATGCCAGAACAGTGACATAAAGGTTAGAATATAGTCATTTAGACTTTTGGATTTTTTTTTCATGAACATTTCCTCTTTTACTCCCTTTTTCACCCTTCTCACTGAATTCATGTACTATACATTAGAATTAAATAACATGCACAAAAAAAAGAGGTCATACCAAGAATTCCCCCTAATTCTCCTCACCCTAGAACCTCATCTCCTCCTGATATGATTACAAAGGGACACTGTATTAAAGGCTCAGTCACCTAATTCTCCTCTACTTTCATTGGGGCATGCAGGACCCCTACTCAGGGACACCGCAGCCAACAGACGTAATCTGAAAAGCCTGGGATGTAGAAACTTCTCTCCATCTTCCCCTAAGATACTTAACATCGGGCTTTGTGCTAGATTAGTCTCGGCCAAAGTTGCATTAAAGAGCCCCGATGAGCCTCGCTTGACCCACATTGGACCTCATCCAAGACTATGGGCGGCCCGTGAGCTGGGCTTTATATATATCACAGCCGAGCCGTTAAAACATTAATAGTGTCCACACATAGTGAGGAGAATCCAAAGAGGTAACCCAGGAGCTATATGGTATTAACATTTTATCGCTACTATGGCTACGCTGCTGCACCCACACAGAATGGGAAGTGAGCGCCGGCTACTGTCACTTCATCATGTCACACATTATAATTTCCTTGCTCTGAAAATCCCACATAGCAAAAGCAATACATGGTTAATAATGAATAACAGAGGAAAGAGAGAAGAAAGAAAAGGAAAGGTAATCATCTCTATTGTGGCATTTTCTGGAGGGGATATACATTTTTCTGTCAAATTTGAAGTTACGTGTAAGAAGAAGGGACTGAAGTATGATGAATGAATATTTAAGACACTGTGTCTACAGTGTGTGAAGGGAGATTCAGGGACGTTCGCATCCTAAATCCTCGATGACACGGTGTCAAAGCCACTGACCTCACTGTCCAGCCACTCCGCTTTCAGACAGTCTTGATTGAAAACTCTCTTTGTTTCAGAGCAGATTAAAACCAGACTCTTAAGCAGTTTCACCACATATCAAAATCAAGATGCGCTCCCCTTGACAGTGTATTCCAACTCCGCGTCTACTCCCTCTTGCTCATTTAATTACAGAGAATTAAAGATCTCAGTAATCATTAGACGAATAAATATTCTGCGTGCATTTGTGCATGTATGCGTGTCACTCGTTTTTTTTATATCCTCCAAGTATTGGCGAAAGTGATTGCTCTTCCAGCAGGCGTTGTAAGGATGAATCCATTTTCCTGACAAATTTGCTTCAGTCACCGCCTCTTTTTGACCATGCTGCCTCTGCCGACTGCTGCAGCTCTCACACACAGTTGCAAACCGACCCCCCCCCCCTTTACTCTTCTCAAACACACACAGACACGGTCCTCCATGCCCGGCTCCTCGTGGCTGCAAATTGCTTTAGCATGGGCACTGCACAAGCTAACGCAAGCTAACTTCATCAGCAAATGCAGAGGTAACACTGGTGGCTCAAACATGGCTTCCCATGTGCTGCACCTGCCTCTCTTGCCTCCTTTACATACGTGTATACATTTGTCTCTGCTGTCTTTAAACCTTTCTTGATAGGCCAGTCTTTTAGTTTTACTCCCCCCCCCAATTGCTTTTCTGTTTTCTCTAACTCTAACCATGGAGATCTGCAACAGAGATGTAGCATGGAGCAAGCTACAGTATCTCCAAGATTAATTTCTCGCCTTCACCTTGCTTTCTCTCTTCTGTCAAATCTGCCCGAAGCTATGCGCTGTATATCACAGATGAGCAGCACAAATGCAATTATAAAGACAGCTCTGAGTCTTTTATATGAATAAAGAGAGGGAATAATCTTTTGACATGTGGGGCTGCACATGCCTTACATATCTTGTGGAGGCGCACGTACAGTATAAAGCTCATTAATAATCATTATCCGCGAGTTACATCATTCAGCTTGTTAGGCACACCCATCGCCTTAGCTGAGTCATTCGCAGCGATACACCGTGCCACCAACTGTCTTGTGAGATTTTCGTGATGTCTGTCTTTTGATAGAACCTGAGAGTGATACAAATTTGTAGATTGTGTTTGCATGAAGGACGAATTGCATCCAGCTGGTAAACTCAGCAAATATAAAGGAGTACACGGTTGATGACAGGGATTGTGCAAAGGTTTAAATCCGAAATAAAATCAGATTCTCTGTGTAAAAAAAAAAAAAAATCCTTGGTACGTTGAAATAGCATTGCATTACACCTCTGATACAATGCAATGGCTGACTGTGATCTACTATGTGACAGGGTATAGGCCTGAGTGCATGCTTCTATATGCATATCATGAATGCATCTCTAATGCCAGTGAAATCCTTCTCATTTAGCAGAGAAAAAAAAACAGCATCTCCATGCCTTTCAGACATGCAGAGGAGGCTGAATAGACTAATGAACAGTCAGGTGGCACTCCAGGGCCTGGACTACACCCCCCCATCACACACACATATCAAACACACATACACTTGCACACACATTAAAACTCAGCGGCTCGCCCGACCCCGGCGATCCGCACGACAGTCTAATGTCTCAGGCATCTGCTCATGTCTAGTCTGGAGGGTCTTTCCCACCCTGCCCCCCAGCCCAGGCCCGCCGCAGCACCAGCTCCCAGCAATGCTGCGAAAAGCGGGGCTGCTTTCACAGAGTCGGAGGTCGTCTCTGGTGGGTGTGTGCAATTCCCCCAATTGTGGGTGTGTGCTGGGTGGGGGAATGGGGGGCGCGACTAAACAGCTATTGAGCGGGGTGCGGAGTGGGGGGGGGTAGAGTGAGAGAGAGGTGCTGAATGATAATGTGAAAATGCACGGCGCTGTTCATTAACACACAAGCGCTGCAGCTGCACATGTTGGCCCTGGACACACATGCTCACGCATCTCTCTTTTCTGCTTCAGGTTGCTGCCAGAGACACCAGGGGTACAGGGCAGCTCTACGCCATGATAAGACGCATACTGAGGATCTGTGTGTGTGTGTGTGTGTGTGTGAGGTTACAGGGACGGAGCTGGTGAAGATTCAGAGCCTTGATATTTGGTGATCTCTGTCTGCCCACGTCAGAGTTTGGCAGAATATGACATTTTTTACTTTAGTGAAGTCTGACATTTTCTAATCACTCATGCAGCTGGTACCAGCACAGTTACATTGCAGAGGGTTGTAATCAATATTAAATTGCTAAGACCAAATGTCTAAAAAAGATGAGATCCAACATGAAATCAATCTGTGTGCAGTTATGTAGCTTTAACAATTGTAAATTGATTTACTGTGCCAACTCTGAGCCACAGACACACACAAATGCAAAGACGTGTACGTATACAAACATGTGACTGTAGAGTGTATTCCAACATGGACAATGAAACATCAAACGCTGGTGAAAAAATTACTGTAACTTCAAATGTTCTGTTGAACATCATTATGTAAATGTTTCCTAAATGCAAAAAGGGCTAATATTCAGTGCCGATAGTGTTACACATAAGGAACCGCTTTGTAAGCCAAAATATCTTTTGTACACACAGTAATTTAAATCTGAGATCGTATTGGTTCTACTTTTAAAAACAATAATGTTAATCCCCAAATGGGGAATTATCCCAGTTTCCCCCAATCAGCGCCCAACAAAATTCACCTGAGGGGAGCGACATATTAACATCCTTAAGATACTGTACAAAATATCATAATGTGAATTTCACAACAAAAGCAGTTTTGCATGAATTAATCTACAAGGTTTGTCAGGTGGAAACGCAACATACACCACTGCCTGGTGTTCATCAGGGAATAAAGAAGCACCATGACAAGAGAGGATGGCAGGTTTCCCTCAACCAGTGCCAGCTCATTAATTTTGTTTGCGCCCCCCCCCCCCAATCCTCCCACCAACCATCAACTACCCTTCCTCACCCACCAACCCCCCTCACATCACCCCTTAACTGCTAATTAGCAGGAGCAGAAGATAGAGAAAAGGGAGAGGCCATGTGTGACTGGGGAGGAAATGGGAAACTCTTCTTCTTTCCCTCATCCTTCTTCCTTGTTCCCTTCCCCCCCTCCCAAGCGCACACACAGTCAGATACACATACACACACTCCCCCACCTCCTGCCCACCAACGCCATTACAACTGGTGCCCAACAGAAAACCATGATGCAGCTCACCTCGTATGCCAGCCCTGCCATTTTAGGTGTTGCGGCAACATCTCCCAAGATGGCTCCTCTGAGCGCGCCCATACTCCAGGGATCCGGCAGGGTCTTTGTCCGCCTCCTGGCACGGGCAAAGTGTCCCCCGTTGGCAGTACAGATGGCATTAGAGGCTGTGGGGTAAAAAGGGTGAGGGGGAGAGGAAGGAGGAGGAGGTGGCAATTCCGGACTGACCGCGTTTCCCCCTCTCTCTCTCTTCGTTCGCTTTTAATGATGGATCTTTCCTCTTTTCAGGAAAACCTGATTATTCAGTGTTGTTAATCGTAAACCTGTAACGAGAGAGGACAAAAGAGAGAAAACAGGGGAATAAAACATGAAAACTCGCCTTTTGTTATCATTACAGTGTAACACAGCCTTATGGTTGTGGGCTCTTGATTAAACAATTAATTCAGTTGTTAAAAATCAGCCAGTTATCTAAACTTTTAAATCTCTGGCCAGCTTTACTCATTCAAAGAGCATTCCTCTTGTCCTTTCTGTGGGCACGCGAGTGTATTTTTGCTACAATAAAAGCACAAGAAGAGTCATTATAGGTGTAGACAGGTCGAAGCAAGGATGCCCTGGACCATCCCATAAGTAAAGCCTCAAGCACGCCATGTTCACATGCTACCTTTAACATGGAAAGCTCAGGAAAAGACTTGGGCCTCGGCCTTTCACATCCAATATCTCACTGTGAAACTAAGCAATTAGCCTGGTTTTACAGCAAGCTCTATTACGATTGGTAGTTAACAGAGTGAATGAAAACTCATCTCACTTTGGTGCTCTTTAAGCTTTAGTGGCATTCTCTGAGCTGAGCGTATGCAGCGCACAGCGCTGAAGTACCAGTGTGAAAGGTTCAGCTCCTGTCTACAGGATGGCCCTGGCCTTCTCATTGAGGCAAGACACAATGTTTCCCAAAGGCTCCAAGACTCGGTGCAGCTTAAAATACAGACGCCAAGTGTTTTTTTTTTTTTTTTAACCCTGTGTGTGTAGGGTGCTACACCACTCAACTGCATTATTAGCAGTCCTGAAGACTTTAGTGCCTGGACAAAGTGTTCGCTTCCCTTTTCTTTCATCCATAAACAAAGGCTCACAAGTGAAATCTAAATTCTGTTCTCATTTTTTCAATAAATGGAAAATACTCCAAAAGAGAAAGGTAAATGAATTCAACAGTGTGCTGTAAAAAGCAAAAGATAAATCAAGAGTATCTGCTTGAGCGTTGACATGACTGGCAGGGCAACATGCCAGTGTGTCCCAAAGCAGGTAACTCCAGGGATCCTTGAGAGAAATCCTGCCTCACTGTTGTGGCTTACTGGGACACTTTAATAGATCGGAGCCATCGTTAATGTTTTCCACTGCGACAAGTCAAAATGTCTGCTGTGAAAAAGGCAAATTGCAGTCTACCCAATACTACCTCCCTGCCTACATTATTAGATTTTTTTTAAGGCACAATAATAAGAAAATTCTTCTCAGATGATGTTTTTAAATCTAATCGATCTCACACACATTCACGCGGGAGCCCTTGAAATGGAGAAAGTGTGGGAGTTCTTGTTTTGGACAATACTATTTTCTTCCACCCACTGGGCGACCTGTTTAGCATTCAGCACCATGTTGCAGAGGACCTGAATGGACAGCAACCCTAACCACCCAAAAACAGGGCCAGTTACTGACTGTGGACCCTGAAGCACAGCTCATACACCAAATCCTCAAAATAAACTGAAGTGAGATTAAAAGAGCACACAACAAATATATCTGGGTCCATCCAACTCTGTAACTCAGTGATAAATAAGGCTGAGCTTTGCACTTTGTATTTCCTCCATGAAGTAAAAAAAATCAAGATATATTGTTTGAGAGGCGTTTTTATTTTCTTTAAAAAAGACCCCATTATCACATGCCTGCATATCAGGGTAACACGTGATGAATGCAATGAATAGACATTTTTTCTACAAAGAAAAAGCTGCAAACTATTAAAATGCTTACAAATCTGCCATATGCTCAACGTTTGTGCTTATTATAAGAGGAAAAAATCTCTTAAAGCCAAGACAAGCCATTTGGGATTATTTGTGTGCTCTTTTTCTGAACAAACTTTAGGAAAACGATAAAGCAAAACTGTTTTCTTACCTTTTCGAGGTGAAAGTCAAAATCAGAGCCTTGGTGAATTAAAAGCCAGAGGAGTCCTCCCCCCTTTCTCTCTACTGAAGTACAACGTTACGGAAGTCATTTCTACTTTCGGTTATCTAGCTTTATGACAGGTATTTAACACTCATACAGCTAGATAACCAAAGACAAAAACAGACCTCCTCTCACACGCTCCTGCTGGAGCCCGACGTGATGCTGGTGTGATCTGGAAATAAGAGGGGAAGACACATGAGCAGGCCTATAATATTTAAAAACACTATCATATCTTAATTACAGCCAAACAACAGGGGTTTTGAATCAAAGGTGTTACATTTATTACGAGTTAGGCCACCACACATTTTGTCGGTTAAAGAAGCTACAAATAAAACATTCAGCCGTCAGATATTCATGTCATGATATGTAAGGTGTCTGGTTAAAGGCCTACTCAGTGTTGACCCAATTCTACATTAAATTCCTGTAAATATCAGATTACTCTGTAGTTACATTTGAAAGCTCTCATTTAAACATATTATTACTGTCAGAGAAGATAGATATTGTTTTGTATTTACAGGTAAATATATGTGCGGGGGGCCTAGCGTGGATTAGCATCTCTTGCAAGTAACAACCGACTGTATTATAATGAGAAAAATTGATTTTTTTTACACTACATAATTTACAAGGCAGAACATTTGTCTCTATTAGCTCTGGAGAGACTTTAAAAATCTAAAACTTTCAAGTGGCAAATTGTAAGCCACATTGCACGTGCTAAGCTGCATTCAAAAACATCCACCTGCCCATTAGTTCAAACACTTCAGATCATTTGTAGGACGTGCCTGTGTTCTGCAGCGCTATCCCGTTACACTACCCCTCCCTTTTACACTTGTAATTTAGGAGCAATATTAAGACTAAATGCTGCAGACCTGCCGTGTGATTTTATACAATTAAAGATATTTTAATAGTCATAATGAATGACTGATTGTATTTGACAATACTAGAAAAAAAAACTGACATTGTTGTAAAAACATAAAGATACATGCTTAAAGCCTGTCTACACATGTAAGATGGTACAATATCAAGAAGCTAAATTTCCATAACAGCCTATTTTCTGACTGGATGACCATAAAACGTCAGTGTGACCAAAGTAGGGCGGCCTATAAGCATGACCATGAACCTAACACGGCCCTTAGGTTAAGAACTGGCTCTTTGATGCAGCAGGTTAAATGTTGCTCTGAGATCAACAGCTGACTCTTTTCTCTTTTTTTAATCTTTTTAATCAACTAAATCTAAATTGAGCTGGGTTTTAAGATGCTTTAATTTGTTCTTGGCTCTTTAGTGCTCCTGGGGGCAAAGAAACCCTACTTTTAATGAGAGTTGTGATTGGCCTACTTCTTTTAAAACTGGACTATTTCACATCACAAGGATTATCCGCATAGGCTATTACAGAAACCAATTTGTTCATAGTCATAATATTAGGCCGAGGAGCGTGGTTCAATATTCTGCCACTTTATAGAACAAGGGATTTTTGTCTGTTTAGGGACCAAACACCTTTCCCCTCATTTTAAATTAAACGCAAGGGCGTTTCTGTTGGTTAATAATATGCTCCTTCCCTGGTAGTCTGAACATGCACCTTCTGGGTCCCTAAATTCTCTGCATAAGACACATGGACATGGCATGAGAAGAGATTCAAAGCAGGTAAAAATGTAATGCTGTCCGTGCATATCCTGCCAATTACCGGAGGCGTTTCTTACCTGTTTCGGAAACAAAGCAGACTCTGGAGCCAAGTGTCCACAAACTTTAGCTCGAGATGAATTTTCCACATTCATTTTTCTGCGTTTAAATCGGGCCCTTGGAGAGAGTCAGTGCCGCTGCTCTTAGATGAGTCCAGCCTCATCCTCGGTCCTCCAGATTCTGCCTCTCCTCCAGCCTGCGCGCTTCCTCCACTGTCACACAACTCGCTCCCGCACTGACGTCATACCAGGACCAGGGCGGCGTATTGACCAATCACAGAGTCCGCCGGCATCAAAGAACGTCCGCGCTGAGCAGACGTCTCACTCCTAATTATTTTCTTTAGCTTTTCGTCGATTTCTTCACTTTTAGCTACTACTACTACCACCACTACTACCACTACTACTACCACTACTACTACTTTTAACAATAATAATCATAATAATAGTAGTCATGATAATAATAATAAATCAATTTAGTAACTTTTCTGGAAATTTTGATGGATTTTTTTCTTGGACCATTCTCATCTGTCTTTACTTAAACGTTGAGACTGAAAGCTCATCCTTGACCTTGAATGCAGCAGTTGACAAAACAATATCATCTCAACAATTTGCCATCTGATCTTTTCACATGATCTTCGTCCATAGATTAATTAGGCTAATGTTTTTTCATTGTAAACATGTTAATATACTGTATATTTGTCATTTCTTTTAAATACACTTGAACACTAGTCAGGTCAGATTGTGATGTTGTCTCCTATTTCCCAGGAAGGCTGGTTGCATCTGAACTTTATGCTACACCTCTGTTGTTCCTCTGTATCTTAGTTACTGTGCTGCACCAACATTTTCTCAGAACATCATTTCCACATATCTCCTGATTTATAGTAACAAAGGAATAGTCCTTGTGTTTCTCCACTGCAACTGTATGTGGTTAAAGGTCAAACAGTTTGACCTTTTGGCACAACAATCAAAATTGTGTAAAATCCCAAGATTTGCAACACCCAAGGCAGCACAATGGTTCAAACCTACAAAAAGCAACTCTGCTGACTAAAGCCAGCCACAATGGCCTATGTTTGTGTTAGTATTTTTATTTTATCACTGGAGGTTATCACTTCCTTTACCAAATATATACCAGTAGGCTATTGTAAGTTTGCACAAGAAGTGCACAAGTGCACTTCCCGCCCTACTCTGGTCACAGGGTTTCACAGGCTGGAAGAAGGTGTGATCATTCTTCACAAATAAAGGATCTCTGAGGCCTGAGGCGATTGTGGTGAAGTGCTGGCTGTGAGATCAGGAGCCACTGCCAAGAGTTGCATGAGCAGTTTCCTCCAAATCTGTACAGTCAGAAGAAAATGCTTAAATGTGGTAAACTACTCTGGGACCAATGAAAAAACATTAGGGTCATTCCCAAGATTTATCCATGTTCACAGCACATTAAGACAGAATGTGAAGGACACAAGACTGAGATAATGAATATAGGTTAGGCTTCTCATCATCTCTGAACATTTAATTTCAATTAAATGAACATAGCTCTCAGTACTCAGTGATTTAATAATAGATTTATAAAATATATGATAGGAATACTTTTTGAAAAAGCCCAAACTACATTCCAGTTTGCACACAGCCTCCAAATCTGTTTTTAATGAATATTTATTCTTGAAATGAATGGTTTGACCTGTGCACAGACTTAGCAGAAATGTTTCTGGAGGTATTCAAATTATACTGGCTCAACATGGCCAGTGTAAATTATCAAATTTCCCCTAAATTATATTTGGAATCAATCAGAGGAATGAAAAATAGCCTACATTTGATTTGGACTGTGTAAGCTGTGGTTCACAAATTAATATTTCCAAAAATCAGTTTCATATTCATATTCAATTGCATACCACGATTGATAATGCAAAACACTTTAAATTAGTCATCTCCATTTTTAGGCAAACATGATTCCCATTCTTTTGTGTGGTTCATGTTCTTTTGCTCATTTATTCTCCATGTGGTCCATTGAAGCACCGAAAATCTGCCCGCCACAACATGTGGGATTGCTGCAGATCACAACTGTCTACATTTTCATCAAACTTTTAATAGCCATTTGTTTGTTCACATGTGCTGTATCCTGAAATACCGTCAGGATTTTCTCTTGAAACTTTTAGGGGTGCAGTGGAACAATTTCAGTTAAATAGTGGAGACAGGGAGTGCTATTTTGATTTTTGAGCAGCTTTCCCCTTTTCTTCTTTCACTGAGGTCCGTTTTCTTAAAGGGTACTAATACTATAGGACTGCTTTATATGTGTTTTCCCCCATAGGTCATGGAGCTTTTTCGACAAAGAGGTTTGCCACAAAGACGTTTACTGAAACCAAGACAAAGAACATGTACAAATCTAGATTATATGAGTAGTTTAAAAACTATATGCTTTTTACTTCTCCAAATATCTGGTATTCCACCCTCCACAATAATTCACCGAGTAGGAAAAAAATATAAAATGCACTTATCTTTTATTGAAATAATAGCCAGAGTGATCCATGGGCAGCAGCATGAAACAAAGGCATGCACAAGGCACACAGCCATTCAAGTAGATGCAGTTTGTGGAAACTCTGGAGATGAGGCAGCTCTCTGTATCTCTTACTCGCACACACACACACCCACGAACACACACAAGCACAGGAGAGTAGCTGTGTAGTTAGAGGAGGTAATCTTCATAGTATTCCATAGATGATGTCTGGCTAGAAGAGGAGAAATTATAAGTGAGCACATGTTAAATGGACACTGACATGTTAACAGGACAGCTGTAGCCTACATGCTATAAATGCTGCAGTCAGTCACTCACACGCTGCAGGAGGTGCTGTCCTGTAAAAGAGCGGGAGTCTGGAGACTGGCCATCTTGTCCCACTGCCTTGCAGCGTAAGTAACCATAGAGGTTAGCCACTTGGAGGGAAATACTAGCTACCACAAGAGACTGGGGGAGACAGACAGGCAGATGCATTTGAATCAGATATCATGTGATGTATATGCAGAGCATGCACACAAACAGCATGTGTCTCACCAGCCATTTGATCTTCAGGGAGAACAGAGAGGTGAAGAAGAAGAATGTCCAAATGAGAGGGCAGATGATTAGACCCAGCCAAAATATCCTGGCCTCTGCCTCTGTTCCAGTGTTATTGCCCCGGGAGGTCTGCATGCACACCGAAACACACACACAGAACAACCATGTTTAATATCCCCAAAATGCTCATCCACATTCAAAATGGCACACGACAATAACGCTGTCTCACTTTTTTGGCCTCAAACACCCAGAGGCTCCTTCCATCCTCGTCAATCTGATTCCACCACCGCAGCCCCACCAGCAGCCTGCCAGTCACATTCTGAAACAACACAGGACAACTGTGCATGAGAAATAGAAATCAGTCAAGTGAAAGAAAGTGATTAAACAGCATACTGAATTGCATAAGAGGGCAAGAGAGGGGCGAGGCATAGGAAAGTAAGGGGAATTAGTAGCTGACATGGTTCACCTCTCACCTTGACCGACCAAAAATCAAAAGAAAGCAGAGTGATGATCAGGACAAAACATGATGCAAAGTTCTTGCTGATCCAGTCACAGAGCAAATAGGCCACAATGGCAACCACTCTGAAGAACAGGTGGAAAAAGGAGGCGAGGGGGTGTCTGCAATCAAATCATATGTTAGGAATGATGAATGAAGAGCCTAAAAATGCCAATGAAGCAGCAGTCAGAGACATCTTGTACAGCAAATCTACCCTTCACAACACCACACACTTCACAAGGACACTTAATTATGATGTAGGCACACATGAAATCACATTTCATATAACAGGAAAAAACAGCCATCTCATAAGAGAGAATAACCATTTAAGTTGCTGAGATTTGTTTAAATGAAATTATTCATAAAAAGATGTAAATAATCCCCCAACTGACCGATATCTTTATTGATATTATCTTAATAAGAAAAAGACTGACTGCACAAGACAAATGAGTGTATATGATAATCACTATCTCCTGCAGTGCACCTTATAACTGCGCTTCTCCGCGCCCTCTCCTGCTCGTCAGCAGCAAAGTCCAGCTCAACATCCTCCGTGTCATCCGCCATCGTCTGACAAGAATCAAAGACGAAACACAACACAGGAAAAATCATCACTCACCATTTTAGCTAATACAGCACATGCAAACACAATACATTTAGAGGCAGACAAAACATAAAATCTCCATTTGTTTCATGACTGTGGATGTGTAGAGCTAAGCGAAGTACCATTTGGGGGAAAGCGTTGCTGTACTGTAGGGCTGGAGCCAGGTGTTGCAGTGAAATAAGACCGACACCGACACTGACACTTGACACTGCCTCTGCCTCCTCAGTCACTGCTTTCACATCCACATCTGTATAAATTTCTCCGTGAGAAAGATGTTTCTCTTTATGCACCACTACAGCACAGCCCCTTGTCGCACAGCAGTAGAGTCTGTCTAACGTCGAAACCGGATCTGCATTTTGCTGAGGGAAACAATCTCGTCACTGGAGTCATAAACAGAGGATATCAAAAGAAGCGACCGCGGCAGGACTCGAACCTGCAATCTTCTGATCCGAAGTCAGACGCCTTATCCATTAGGCCACGCGGCCCACGATGTATCATATAGGGGATGCAATATCCTCTTTATATTGTATGACGATGATTTATCAATTTGTGGGATACTATTGTGCGTTGTGGTTAATCCACAATTGACCATGGTGCAAAACGGTAATTTGACCACCGTGGTATAAATCAAATCATTTGTTTGCATGCTAACAAAAGGTGCAGTCATCCGGACCGCTAGGGGACGCTGGCGCTTCGTCTTGCTTTGCTCTTACAAGGCTGTGGGTTGACATGCTGAAGTAGCAACCTCATTTTCAGCGGAGCGGTTTTTAAGCAGAAATTGGTTGACTACTTTAACGTTAAACCTGATAACACAGACCAGGTGAGGTGCCTTTCCTTTTGGTTTCAGCGACCGTCTGACTAAGAAACGTACAAATTACACGGCTTGGTGTTTTGTTAAGTTGCTCACAAGTTAGCAACAGTCCCCCCCGGGCAAGCGTGTTACTGTTGGTAAACATCATGATAAACGTACATTAGAAGGATGGCGGTGTATTAATTAGAACAAGTAATGTAGCTAACTACGTTTCCACACGAGAAACTCACAGTTAGTTAAGCTAGTGTTAACTCCAGCACTCGTTTTCAGTCGTTACTAATGTTAATTGTTAAAGCTGGTTGACAACTTCTTGAGTAAACCATCACGTTCTTAACCGTTCTTCATTGTCCTCAATACTGTGAGCAAACTGTATAACAGTATATAATGTAAAGTAAGTAGGAATGTGTGATGAAGTCAAATAAAGGCATTCATTTAGCTGCATAGCTTTCCTTGTGCTTACCAAAAAATAAGGCCACACAATCTCTCATATATCATTTAATGAGACCAGGATAATTTAAGACAATTTTAAAAGCTAAATTACACATTATAAGTGCAAAGATTATTTTTCTGGCCTTAACCTAGCTAGACATGGCAGTATCTAATATCAGTTTGCGCCTCTTATTACATTACATGAGAGGCATAACCTGGGCCCAACTAAGATGTATTACGTCACAATGCTGATGCTGTATCTATGTCTTCCAGCTCTAGTGTGAAGTCCTCATGAGGTGATGCTGCATGTGTTGCGCTGTCCTCTGCAGAGGTCTCTCATCTCTCTACAATGGACGTGTCTACGCTCCCCGTTCTCCACCAAGCCTCACTCCGTTCAGGGCGAGGACTCCACAGAGACCCGCCTGAACCCCCTGAACATTCAGATGCTGTCGAAGAACCTCCATAAGCAGATCTTTCGAGGGCTACAACCAGAATACAGAGAGGAAGATGTGGAGCGCAGCATTGAGCATTTGCAGAAACACCAGCTATGGGGGAAGGAAACTTCACTGTTGCCCGATGTAGAGCTGAAGCTTCCCCAAATGTATGGCAAAAATATTGATGAGCACTTCCGTGTCTTGGCTGAGAATCAGAGTCTTCCCTACCTTGACGCTGCCACCAAGCTGCATCTGGCCGAGCTCCCTCCCATGCCCCAGAAATGGAGCTGGGAGGTTGGCTGGACACGCTATGAACCCAATGGGGAGAGTCAGAAGGTGGATTTTCCAGATGAGTCAGCACTGGTATTTGATGTGGAGGTGTGCATGACAGAGGGACAGTGTCCCACGCTGGCTGTTGCTGTGTCTCCTACTAACTGGTGAGGATGAAGAAGAATTGTAATGATTGTGTAAAGTGGAGAAATATTGACATTTAATTATTTATTGGAAATACTGATTAGCTTCATTGTGGTGTTGAGTTATGGGTCTAGTTGTTTTTGATTAACAGGCAGAGGGTGGATTTCCATCATCACACTAATGCCAACAAAATTTGCAAAAAACGTGATATATGAAAATTTGACGTGAATGTAAATGGGCAGCAGGTCGATCTTTTTCCCAGTGTCTCTATCTCTCCCTGGGTATTCATGCTAGGTATTCCTGGTGCAGTAAGCGTTTGATTGAAGAGCGGTACTCCTGGTCAAACCAGTTGACCCTTGCTGACCTCATCCCACTTGAGACACCTATGAACTCTGCCTACCCTCCTAAGGGCAAGTGGAAGAACAAGCTCATAGTGGGCCATAATGTCAGTTTTGACAGATCGTACATTAAAGAGCAATACTTATTAAAGGTAGGTATTCAGAGCATGGTGATTTTTTTTCAACATATCTTTCTTTATATTGGAACTTTGTTGTATGATTCACTTGAATAAATGTGCCAGGTACTATGTTGCTTTAATGAGGCAAAAGTTCATGTATTGCACACCAAAGAAAATAATGTGTTCTTTTCCTAAAGGGTTCAAAGGTGCGCTTCATGGACACCATGAGCCTTCACATGTCCATCTCAGGACTGACTGGGTTCCAGCGCACACTGTGGATGGCCAGTAAGCTGGGCAAGAGGAGGGGTCTTCAGGAGGTCAAGGAACACATTAAGAAAGCTGGACAGAAAAGGGAGGGCCCAATGGTTTGTGTCTTTGTCTCACAGGCTTTATGAGTGGTAGTGTCGCAGTTTTGACATCGGCAAAACTCAATGTTTCCTGATGTTTTGTTGCACAGATCGGCTCCTGGGACTGGACGAACATCAGCAGCATTAATAACCTTGCTGATGTCCATGCACTGTATGTGGGAGGCCCGCCCCTGCAGAAAGAGGCCAGAGAGACCTTTGTGAAGGGCAGCATGATGGATGTCAGGAACAACTTCCAGGTCAGAGGTTCACGACAAATTGTGCCAGATTGTCAGTAATCATAAGCCCAATTTATGCATATTAAAAGGTTCTCTAAATCACTTGCATTCATCATCACCGTCACCATCAAGTACAGGTTGGCAAATAATTTTGCCTTTGCTGACCTCTACAGGAGTTAATGCAGTATTGCGCCATGGATGTTCAGGCCACCCATCAAGTCTTCACAGAACAGTTGCCCCTCTTCCTGGAGAGGTCAGTCAATCCCAACCCATTAGTTAGTTTCCCCTCAACTCGTACATTTGTTGTTTCATGTGTAGCCAATAGTCATTATTCAACACACAATGATTATTTGTTCACAATGTTGCTCATCTTGACTGTCTTTTATAAGGTGTCCTCATCCAGTGACGTTTGCCGGGATGCTGGAGATGGGTGTGAGCTACCTTCCCGTCAACCAAAACTGGGATCGATACCTGGAAGATTCTCAGGACATTTACGAAGAGCTCCAGAGAGAGCTGAAGAAGTCTCTGATGACTCTAGCAGACGATGCCTGCCAGTTGCTGCAGGATGACAGGTGAAAAGAGCACCTATTAAACACCTTGTGTCAGAGTGTAATTTTGGCCATAATTGTGTGATAAGGTAAAAAGGATGGTAGATTTTTGTGTGAACTGTAAGTCTATAAATCCAAAAGATGGATGTTTTAAGGTGCTTTGTATAAAAACATCTACATAACAGCTTATGTTTAAAATTTTACGTAAGATACAAAGAAGACCCCTGGCTTTGGGATCTTGAGTGGGATGTGCAGGAATTCAAGCAGAAGAAAGTAGCTGCCAGCAAGAAGAAACTATTGAAAAAAGCAGCTGAAGCACAAGTTGCTACTCCTCTTCCAGACTGGGAAGAAGGTAAAAGCTCAGATACTGGGCCACATTTATAAAGCCAATGTTACATCTCTCTTAACAGCAATGCCAAAAGGTGTAAAAAAAAAAAAAACAAACAAAAAAACAGATGAGTGGATTCAGTTGAGTCGTTGTGATATTAGATCCAGGTCCACCATCCGAAGAGGAGATGGCAGGCTCTTGCCCCAGCAGGCTGGCTGTGGAGAAGCTGAAGGAAACGGTGAATAGACTTCCTAAAAGAAGGCAACATCTACCTGGACATCCGGCGTAAGAGCACTCCCACACACCACAGAGCCATCCCGTGTTTAATACAGTATGTTTCAATTTCCACTTCCATTTGCTACTGACAGTGGAAGTCAGTCCATCTCCCCCTTACTGTGTCATCAGGTGGTATCGTAAGCTGTGTGAGAAGATGTCTGAGGAGGACAGCTGGTCACCTGGAGCCAGTCTGATCAGTCTACAGATGAGACTGACGCCTAAGCTGATGGGTCTGACGTGGGATGGTTTCCCCCTGCATTACACAGAGAAACATGGATGGGGCTATCTGGTACCTGGACGCAGGGATAACCTGATTTCTCAGGAGGAAAGCACTGGGCCTGTGTGCCCACACAGGTAGTTGATGCACTGCTCTTGATGTAAAAGCATGGTTGGGTGTTTCTCATCAAGACATGAGCTTATCAGGGTAATAATAGATGGCTGGATATTTCTGTGAATTATTAAACCTCAGAGTAAAAGAAGGATGTGTGTATTAAATCCTTCCTGTGTTCCACAGAGCTATTGAGAGTGTTTACAGAGAGTACTGCGAGCAGAACAGCAAAGAGCAGCCTGAGTACCTGGACTTCAACCCTTCAGATGACCTCATGTTGACAGACAGTGCAGTGTGGGCAAAGGTGCATGCGCTCATCAAATGTTAGAGACTAGTGCAAACGGCAGGACATTGCCAACTCCTGCATTAACTCCTCTAGAGATGCATTATTCCTGCATTAGCTAGTAGCTAACATGCAGCAGCATGACTTTACATGGTGCAACTCATCAAATTGTGCTTTTTAAAAAAAATTGTTTAAGTTTTTGGCTCAAATGTTGAAATCCACTGAAATTTGCTTCACCTGGACCTGGTGTCGGCACTACGTCCGATCATTGATCAGGCCCACATGCTCAGGAATGATCATGACAGAGTTTTGTTTCTCTCATCTCCAGGTGGAGGAGTTAAGTTCCTTTGAAAGTTTGACAGAGCAAAATGGAGTCAGAATGATGAAAAATGGGCAGAGGACAAAAAGCACGGTGAGTTTATTGGTCTTTGTTATGTGCAGATGCTTTATGCCTTTGTTTCTATATCATAAACATTTTAAACAGTCCTGGACAATACTGTTAAATTTCTTTATAGCAACTCCTTTTTATATCCTTGTTAATATGGAACTCCAGGTTCTTGTCTAACACACTGTGTGTTGTTTATTCAACATGCGTTCTTTTTGTTTCACTGTGATTCAGTGTATGACATACTTTGTATTCTGTATCAACAACAGTCCCAAGACCCAAATTATATCCCAGAGAGTCAGTGTCATTACCACCATGGAAACGGGCCCTACAATGATGTGGATGTCCCAGGGTGCTGGTTTTTCAAATTACCTCACAAGGTAAAGTGAAGTTTCAGTGTTTATCTAGAGTGAATGCTGAATAACTAGCATCGGCACAATGTCACTCCAATGTGCTACTTTCATCATTTCACTGAATATTTGTGTTTCAGGATGGTAATCACAACAACGTTGGCAGTCCTTTTTCAAAGGACTTTCTGGCCAAGATGGAGGATGGCACTCTTAGGGCAGGGCGGGATGGAACCAATGCTACACGAGCTCTGGAGATCAACAAAATGATGTCCTTCTGGAGGAATGCCCATAAACGTATAAGGTACCTGTCAGTTTCAACCATAAAGTTACTCATCTTTTTGGGTGATACCAGGTCAGCTTTGTTAAAGGTAAAGATGGTGAATACATGAATTTATTGTGTCCCCTCACAGCTCTCAGATGGTGCTGTGGCTGCGAAAGGGAGAGCTTCCTCGTATTGTCAACAGGTTTGTCTGGTATATCAATTGCTATCCGTCATATAGTGGGGAAAAGCCATAGTTGGATAATATATAACTTCCTCTCTCCCAAAGACACAAAAAGTTTAATGAGGAGGGTCAGTATGGTGCCATATTACCTCAGGTCATCACCGCTGGAACGGTAACACGTAGGGCTGTCGAGCCAACGTGGCTGACTGCCAGTAATGCACGGGTAAGAGGCAGAGTTGACAAAGAAAAACTGCACATCACATCACTGAATTGTATTTATCAGTCAGTAGAGGAATTTTGTTTATATGGACTGTATTTTGTGTCTACAGCGGGACCGGGTTGGCAGTGAGCTGAAGGCCATGGTGCAGGTACCACCTGGGTACCACCTGGTCGGAGCAGATGTAGACTCTCAGGAGTTGTGGATTGCCGCTGTGCTTGGAGAGGCTCACTTTGCTGGCATGCACGGTGAGATTTGTCCTTTTCAAAATCTTGTTTAGTTCTTACCTTACTTAAAACACCATACTATTAAAGTTGTACAAGGCAATACATTTTTCTTAGTCTGGAGAAACAGCATCTGATGTTAGCCGTGCTGATCTTATGTCCCTGCCGGGGTTCAGGCTCCACAGCATTTGGCTGGATGACCCTTCAGGGAAAGAAGAGTCAGGGCACTGACCTGCACAGCCGCACTGCTGATGCTGTGGGTATCAGCAGAGAGCACGCAAAGGTGTTCAACTATGGACGCATCTATGGTGCGGGACAGCCCTTTGCCGAGAGACTGCTGATGCAGTTCAACCATCGCCTCAGTCAGACAGAAGCTGCCAGTAAGGCCAGGCAGATGTATGCCTTAACAAAGGGTATCCGCAGGTATACTCAACAATTGAATAGTTGTGTGTTCAAGTAAAAATTTTATTTCTGCTTAGCTTTGTTTAGTTGTTTGTGTAAATGTGACGAGGTGGAGCCCTAGTGCTGCATGCTTGTGTTTATATTTTTTTGTCAGATACAATCTGTCAGAGGAGGGTGAGTGGCTGGTCGATGAACTGGGCATTGAGGTGGAGAGGGAGGATAATGGAAGTATCTCCCTGCAGGAGTTGCGGAGGATCTCTAAACTGGCCTCAAAGTGGTGAGGGAGCAAGCAAAATGTCACATAAACACAACAACTTGTCAGAAACCATAACATAATTTCCTCTCATTTTCTCTGTTCCTTGATTTTCTCCCCTCTCTGTTCCTCATACCCCTCAGCTATCAGCGGAAGAGGTGGGATATCCTCGGCAAACGTCTGTGGGCTGGAGGTACTGAATCGGACATGTTCAATAAGCTGGAAAGTATAGCTCATTCAGCCGAGCCAGCCACGCCTGTTCTTGGCTGCAGGATTAGCAGAGCCCTGGAGCCCAAGGCAGTTAAGGACGAGGTGAGACAGACCAACTGTAAACATAAATCCAACCAATGTGCTTGTATTCAAATAGCATGAGCAGCCAACCTCAAGGGCCTTGTAACATAGAGACTAAAGCTTTTATTATACTGCATGCATCTGTTTGTGTACTGCTGTGTAGAGCTTTCAGAAATATGAGATGTATTGTTGCTGGAAAAAAATGTGGCTCTGCATTACATAATAATCCCATGCCTTCAAGATGGAACATACGTGTTCAACGTGCTATATCTCTCTCTTTCGTCAGTTTATCACCAGCAGAGTGAACTGGGTGGTCCAGAGCTCAGCAGTGGACTACCTTCATCTGATACTGGTGGCCATGAAGTGGCTGTTTGAGGAGCACCAGATTGATGGCCGGTTCTGCATCAGCATCCACGACGAGGTGCGGTACCTCGTCCGCAGTGAAGACCGTTACCGAGCAGCTCTGGCACTTCAGATCACAAACCTGCTTACGAGGTCTGCTCACGGTTCAGTCTTTGTACTTCCTTGTCAAAAATATCCAATGAGGAATTGGCAATAAACTTGACAGCTTTTCTGATTGCACGCTTTTGTCTCGGGCAGGAGTGCGTTCGCACATGCGTTAGGCATGCAGGACCTTCCCCAGTCAGTAGCTTTCTTCAGTGCAGTCGACATTGACCAGTGTCTGAGGAAGGAGGTCACCATGGACTGTGTGACCCCCTCTAACCCCACAGGCCTGGAGCGAAGATACGGCCTACTGCCTGGTGAGTTCTGCTCTGACACCATCATCAGCCTTTATCTTGGCTTATGTTTTTTCTCTACTCTGAGGCACAGTATATGCATTCAACAAATATTTAATATACAGGAGGGGAAATAAAAGATCTCTTAAGTCCTGTAGATATTAGGTTTAAAAAATTTGTTAAAACCCCAAGTATATTCACATCACAGTCCAAAATCAAAAGCCTAAGCAGCCATTTTATATTTAATATAACAACTTTTCAGTTTATTTGCACTGCATTATACAGCCACATTTGATCTGTCCAGAAAAGCATAAGAAGTACTGAAATAACCTCCAATTAGTTATTAATTCAAGGGAACAAATTACAAATCTGTGCAACAAACCAACATTTTTACCCGATACCTGCAATGCTTGGTAAAATTCCATGCAAAATACAATAAAAACAAAGAGACTATAAAACAGAGTAAGGAAGAGAAATAATATTTATTTTAAAACTAAACAGCAATTGACAAATCTAGTCTGAAATCTCTTTAGGATGCATTTATGTGTATGGGAAATCATAGATCTTCCGTTCGTGTAACCATTGACAAAATAGAGCTATCTCAAGCATCATGTAGTTACAACATTAATATATAATATATCATAATGATATAATATATCATTAATATAAGAACTAATTGTTACATTGACATGTATCTTAACAACGGAGTACCTCATTCATCCTGACAAAATAGGGGCAGGAAGTCAAATTGGTCCTTGACAAATCTTCCAACAATGTGAAACAGAAATTACAGTTTGTTTAAAAATACATATACAAAATACATATTTCTTTTGAATAAAGTGAAAGAGGAAGGAACACAACCAGACTTTTAAACAATGTGTGCAAACTCTCCACAGGTGAAGCCTTGGACATCTACGAAATCATCAATGTTACTAAAGGCTCTCTGAACAAATAAAGGTAGCGCTTTTTGGACACCATGCTGTTGTTATTCAGAACAGCAGCACCTGCACTCAACTGCCAAGAGGCTGTTCATTGGCAGGTAACAGTCAAGGTCAGTGAGGAAATTTGGAAATGTGTATGTCAGACGGAGGAGCTCCGAAGCATCAGCTCACTGTTTTCGCTTCTTCTGTTTGGGTTCTTGTGTTTCCTCTGCGTCCTGTGACTCTGTGGGCTGTAAGGAATAGAAGAAGAAATAGACACTGAAATCTCACCCAGTAAAAGCCCACTGGAACGGGACAGTGTTGAAGGGAATTCAATGAAACACCTTGCAGACCATCTCATGTGGGAAAACATTTCAATAATTAGCTGATTGACTGATGCAATCAGAGAAACAACACAGAGTTGACCTTTGGAGCTGCCAGTTACAGTATGAGATGGAACTTGCCTCCTGACTGTCGTCCTGCTCCTGTAGGGCTGCATCCAGAGTAGCAGCATTGATGCGGAAATCTCTTGAGGTGCTCAGCTTCATGTACTGCATCAGATTCACCTGGACAATAATGTGAAGTGGTGAAATACTGTATGTAAGTAGCCTGGCTGATCAATCTGTACTGACAGTGTTCATGAAGAAAATTGTATTTTGCTAAACAAAAAAAAAACTTTGCAAGTCTTTTTTATGTATTTTGAGAATAATATGTCATAGCTCTCAAGTAATCCAGCTTACACATACCTTTGACTTCTTTGAGAGTGTGATGAGGTATTTCTCATATTGTTCAATGCTGAAGATCAAGTCAGGGATGGCCTTTGTCTCTCGCAGAAGTTTTGCCTACAAAGAGAAAATAAAATAAATAGGATTGTTCTAATCAGCGACATTCATTTCAGTTCCAACAATTATATGAGATAAGTATCCTTACAGAAGCAGCAGCGTTCACTTCAATCCTTTTCTTTTTCTTCTCCCCGCCACTAAATTCTCCACTCTAATAGAGAAAACACAGTTTTTAAAGATGAACAAAACAAATCCAAAACTGAAAAACTAATCAGATCATTGTGGATGTCTTAACTGAGCTGTACCTGTGCATATGTGATGAAGGAGTAGCACTGTGTTGTTAAGTGCGAGCCAGACAGTTTGACCTGCACAGATGGCATAGGAAACATTAAATTAGCTTATGTTAGAAGTACTAGAAGATTTAAATGATGAAACAATACCTCAGACTCACCAGCTTTTCAAAGCGTGTGGGAAGCGTACTGTGCTGAGTGGCACACACCTGGATGTACTAAAACAACACATGGAGATGAGATTAATGTCACACTGGGTAAACTGCGTGAATATTCACAGAGATATCACAGAGTGGACAAATACGCACATATTTGACCAGAGTGGTGAGGATGGTGTATGTGCGACGCAGTACTCTCAGCAGTGTAATGGTGCAGGTGCCAGACAGCAGGGACGTCTGGACCAGCTCATTTAATGCTGTCAAAAGAGTCCCGAGCTGCAGCGCCACCGCTTTCTCTATTGGATCCTGCTCTCCTGCTTCACCTGCACATCGGCAACACATCACAGAAGTCTTTGTACCGTACACTGACAGAGATGCATCCCTTCCCTTATCCCCACTCAACTCTCACCATTAATCCAAGTGAGCAGCAGAGTAAAAGGCTTCTTACCGGAGGAAGATTTATCAAAGGTTGTATGGCTTTTCCTTCTGGCAATCAGCCAGTCCACTTCATCAAGCACTCTGTCAACCTGAGACAGGACCAGCAGCTGGGGAAACAGATTAAAATGATGATGAAGGCCGTGAGCAAGCTTCACAAACTGACTCTGGGATATCTGTGTACACAACAAATCATTGCCTTCCAGTTAGAAAACCAACACTCACTGCTGCGGTTGTAGCAGTCTTCATGTTGACAATGGCAAAATGAGACTGTTTCTCTACCTCCACATCCTGATCACAGAGAAAGAGAGACACAAAAATCACTCCATTCAAAAAGTTACTGTCATCAATTTACTGTCATAAAAGTATTATTAGTATTGTTAAAAAAAAACAAATGTTTACTGCTGATTGCAGATGAAGTATGAGTCACATTTTTGTGAGTCATGATTTTCACTTGAGGATGTGGGATGATATGAGACTATGATCAAAGGTTGGATGTGAACTATGAACAGTGCAGTTGTCAATCGAGGTATCGGGATGCATTTAATATACAGCCCTGAACAGTGATATATGCATATATACATTGCTTGTATCAGCTGATGCCACTCTGTAAGTGTGTGTACCTGATCGATATCCCCCAGCTGACTGTGGATGTCTTGGCAGAGCTCCAGTAACAGGCTTACAGGACTCTTAAAGAGAACATGTAGGTTGAAGAGAAGCGAGAGCAGCCCCTTGGAAAACGCAGGATCCTCTAAAAGGAAAAAGAAATACACCTTAGAACAAACAAACAAACCTCATTGTGCCTAAAACTGATACCAAGTTCAAGTAAACTCACCAAAACTGGTCTCCTTGCAGATTTTCACTGTCCACGTGATCATCTGAACAAACTGTAGATTAAGATGTGTGTTAGTGGAACGAGTACTACTGAGTTTGTTCTGTCAAGTGCATATAAGTGTACACTGACCTGTTTGGAGGAGGGCTTTAGCTGGCGTGAGAGCACGCTCAAGATGCTGACCAGCAGCTGAGCCTCTTTGCTGTTAAATTCCTCCTCTCCTCCACTGATCTGAGTGAATAGCGCTCTCTGTTGACGGCAAAGAAAATTGGATTTTAGTGGTGATGCTCAGATGAGGTGCAATTATCCACTGTCCATGGCATTAGAACAGAACTGTGTGAGAAAGCCAAAGTATCAGGGAAGAAAAATATGAAGCAAAATAAGTATTTTGATTTTAACCTTAAAATGGATGGAGCAGCTGCATCCCTAGAAATTACAAAGTACAACTGCACCTGAAACTGTCTGATGTAAAAGAAGTTCATCTCTGTAACGTTCCCATCATCTGTCTCCGGATCATCCTCTGCGATGTCTGCAAGAAACACAAAATGTGATGAATTCCTTCATAGTATTGGTCAAAATTCCCTACTTTTACAGAAAACTGTGTGTATCGAACCCATGTTGGAGAGGAGCTGGGCCATCTTGTCTGGATAGCGCTGCTGGCAGGTTGTGAAAATCCTGAGCAGACCTTCCAGACACAGCTGAGACAGGCTGGAGCGCTTTTCCTTCTTCCCTGCCTCCTCCACCACGCTGGGGATGTTGGTGTAACGCCACATCAGCACGCTGGGTGGACATTTAGACAGAGATGGATCACTCATTGGTCCGATGGAAGGCAGTTTAACTAAACGCTGTTATTTAGGCCATGGGATTCCAACCTTGTCATGTCACAGAGGAAGCGGAAAGTCCTGTCTGTGTTCTGTCCATCTGGGCCATCTGTGTGTCCAGTGTCCTCCAACTGCTGGATCTTCTGTACAGCTACACTTACTGCATAACGTACAAATTCTCCACTTGAGCGCAGCACCGAGAGAGCCTCCTCTTTGCTCTGAGTACTGTCTCTGAAAGAGAATCCAATTTTGTTTGACTTTTTTATTTTTTTTTACATTTTCCAAGAAAATCCAGTAATTCTCACAATTATATTTAATGATTTAATGTTCTGGTGTTATCAGTGCTACTCTTGATTCAATGCAATAGGGGGGGGGCTTGGTGGGCAAAGGTCGGGCTTGAACCCAGGCCACTGTGGCAAGGACCACGCTCAAACAACACAAGCTGCACCAGGTGAGCCACTGAGGCGTCCCAAGTTTACATAGCATTTCTCCCCTTTAGCTCATCCATTTTGTTTGGTACTTGTAACTGTCAGTGCAGTAATCTCACAGCATTAGTGAACATTTACCTGAAGAGCACAGTGAGGAGAGTTGATACGAAGCTCAACGAGAGTAAACTGCGGGGGGTCTTGTGTGAGGGCACTCGACCTTTTCCAGATTTCTCCTTCAGAATCTCAGACAGCTTGTGGTAGTGGTTAAACAGCTGCATGAGCTCCTCAAAGCGGCTTTTACTGCAACACACAGGGGCATGATTTAAAAATTCAGCACGGTAACGACATTCATGCTACACAACATCCGTACAAAGTGAGGTGGTGGGTTGTTACTTGTAGTTGGCTTTGATGAAGTTGTACTCCATGAGAACTTCATACACTCCCATCACGAGCACTGCATAGATATTATTCTTCAACCCAACACTGGATCCCATGGAGAACTCTGCTGACTTGTCCTTGTCAACACACAGACAGTATACAGCTTAAGATGCACAGCTGATAGACAATTCAACAAGAAAATGTTCATTAATTCGTTCCTGAGATTCAAGACGACAGATTCTCATTTCCTTCCTGCTTACACTTCTCATAAGGTTTCCCATATTTTCTTCAGCCAGACTACTAGTTGTATAATTTAATAATAGTTTATTATTTTATATTTTTGTTATTTTTTTTACAGCATTTTCATTTATTATTATAGCCACAGTGAGAGTAAACTCAGGGAGAAAGAGGGGATCAAACAGTTAATTTTATTAAAATTACAATCCTTCTCCTCTTACTGCTTTGTGCTGGTCACTAAATTAATAAGGAAGACTAATAAAGTGTTATTAAAGCTGATGATGGAATAATTATTCCACATCTAGACCAGAGAGTGTGAGAGTTAAAGACATCATTTTCTACACTGTCAGGAATGCATACCAGTTCAAAGTCCTCCATTTCACTCTTGATCATGCGTCTTGTCATGCTCTCTAGAATTGTCTGTAGTTCAGACTGGTATCCTTCCTCCTCTTCCTCCTCATCGTCGCTGTCGTCAGTGCTGGGGTTGGCTGATCGCCGCATGTTCTGCAGCCACAGCAGGCAATGTATAGTGCAGCTCACCAGATGGGCCTGAGATGGAACAAATGCTATTTATAGCAGACATTACCACGGCAACATTTGCACAGTGAACCAGGAGCACAAAGTCGCAGACATGATGCTGCAGTGCAGACAGAGTACCAGTGGCTCCTGGAGGTAGACTTGGTCTCCGTGAGCTGTGATGCACGCCTCCAGCTTCACCGGGGGCAGGAGGTCTTGTTCAGGCTCATAGTACCGCCTCAGCTAAGGATACAAAAATATGACTTACAGCTTCCACACATATAAATAACATGACAAACAGACCATTATATCTGACAGTTTGCACTTAAATGACACACCTGTGAGAAAAGGGTCTGCATGATGGAGCTTGCAAGCTGGGAGTTGCGGCGGAGAACATCGTAGAATCCCTGAAACGAGCAAGAATTTGCCCTCTCAGCATAGAAATCTGAATCTTGTTTGGACTTGAAAGATGTATTAAAAAAATGCTTTAGGTGGAGTAACAATATTTGCTGCTTCGCTTTTAAGACTATAAGAGATATGTTGGGATAGTATTTAATTCCCAACATTAAAATTAAAAAAACAAATGAACATAGTTTATAAAAGTAATCTCTAACCTCATAAAGCATAAGGCGCACATCAGCCTGCTGGCTCAGGCAGCGACGCAGGCTGCTCAGGATCTCCAGACAGAACGCTTCATTGGCAGCAGAGTTGTAACGAGAATGAACGTCCACTTGGACCTATTCAGGGGTTCAGACAGACAGTTAACATTCGATAGATCATTCTTAAAATTGCACCTATTTTCACAGCTGTTTTCCAGCACCCTTGTTGCACATATGCATATATGTGAAGACCACATATACACAGTCTAACTGTACCTGACTGGAGGAGATTGTCTGGCTACACTGGCTCGACGCCAAGCTGCCCAACACTTTGAAGTTCTTCAGCAGCAACAAGAAACCAGTCACTGCAGACTTCCTGCCGTCCAGTTGGCTGGTAGAAAGTTATTTAGAGGGGAGAAAAGTTATCTTTATTTCAGCTGTTAAACTGCCTTTCTTTTTAATTACTATTAAGATATCAAATGCATTAACCAAAGCATGATTAATTAATTATAAAATAAACCTCATCTGATTAAGAGCACAGGAGTACACACCTTGAAAACATGGCCTTGCGGAGAACTAGAATCAAAGCGTCTTTCAAGGACATACTGACTTTGAGCAGAGGCTGGAGATTAAACAGAGAAAAAAAACGATTAAGTAAAGGAACAGATACTTGTACAATGTGTTTGCGTGTGTTTTAGGTACCTGGACAGCTTTCAGTAGACCCTGAACAGTGGCTAAGGGCAAGTATGACAGGTGGTCAAATGTCTCTGTGACCTTGGAGGATGACTCCAGGAGGATCATGGGAGCAGAGATCACAATGTCAGAGAAAAGGTCTGATGATATAGAAAAAAAATAAAAATAAATGTTGTTAAAATCTAGTCTCTAACCAGACAAATTAGACACTGGTGTGTATCTGAAATCAGGGACCAACGTCTGAAGGTTGTAATTACCTAAATAATGATTGACAGGGGAAGCGGTCTTTGTAACCAGCCGATTCAAGACCTGCTCCAGTATCTCGCCTCTGATAGGCTCGTGCATCTGCCGCAGAAGAACACACATCCTCCAGTCGATATCAGTCGTTTACATAGTGATAATTCTATAAAACAGAAACCAAATGTTACCTTAAAGCCCTGGAGGAGCACCTGACCTCCCAGCTTACATGCCTGCTGATTCGGGGTCCTGGCTACCGTAGCAGACCCCTCTGTAGTCTTGCCAAATGGTCCTGGCTTGGGTCCAAATGTGTCCATGAGGAAGAAGCCCAACTGCACCAGCCCCTGGGTCACATGATCCCACCCAAACACGCTGCACAGGTGGAAGAGTAGTGTCCATATGAAAAAATTAAAAACAAATCTATTTCATTTATTTTATTGTGAAGGATGTGTTTTTCTAATTGCGTTTTATACTAACATAAGCACATGCCTAGTTTTTATGTTAAAAGTTTGAAATAGATTAATAAATACTTTCATGTTCTGACCTGTTCTTGACCGTGTCCAGTATCATCTCAGCCACACTGCAGTGCCCAGGCAGGAGGTCCTGCAGGAACTTTGACCCCTGCTGCAGCTGCTCATCCTTGAAGCTCTTGATGATTGCCCCCTTCAAAAGGTCAAACACCTACCCAGACCGGGGAAAGGAGAAAGAAAAATTAGCAAACAATGCAATAAGACTCAAATGACTATAGGAAAAATAATTTTGATTTCTCACCTGCTCTTCATAGCGCTGGATACGTGCCACTGAGAGCAACAGGGCAACACTGAAAGGACACAGGTCGCCATAGGACGTCTGGAGGAATGGTAAGAATTATAGCATACCCAACAGTACATATTTATTCAAAATCTCAAAAATAATTTCAGACAAATAAGTCATAAATAACCTTAAAGCTCTTCAGGAATTCTCTCCCGAGTTCATGGTCTAGTCGTATAGCAAAAACTATGTGGAGGATGGCAGTGCCCTCCACGTGCCTCAACTGGTCCTGTGGAATGGACTGAACCTCTAGATCCAGGCTCCTGATGAACAAATAGTGAAATATAACATTCAGTAAATGGAATGTAGGCAGTAAGATTCAGAGTAAATCTGTCACTTGCAGCGTTATGAGAGACTCACTCTCCATGTTTCTGCTCTTCTTCCTGGCAAACATCTTGCTCCTTAAAATAACCAATGATTCCATCCAGGACCTGTTTTTTACAACCCTAACAGACAGCACAGGGCAGACTTTACATATTTAAAACAAAGCAGAAGATATTTTTACCTGTACATAAACACACAGACACACGCACACACACACACCTTTGCAGACAGAAGCAGCAGTTGGTAAACCAGCGGTGGAATCTCCTGCAGATCCAGTTTGGTGAACATCCGCAGTACTTTCTCCATCAGGAACTGCAGCTCCTCCGATGACAGGGGCACATCCCTACAATGAGGCGGACACAAAAAACTGCTGACTAGTTGCATGGCGTACTCTTTCTGAGAGGTGGCACAAGAAACAAATAATAGCAGATGTAACATTGTGATATCATTGCGAAACATCGTAAAAGATGAGAGCACTGCAATAAACTCTTATCGTTCTGAAAGAAAATTAATAGTTAGATGGTCAGTGGTGTTACCTGAACATGGTCGTCAGGTGAATAACACACTGTGGATCCCATCTGCATGAAAAAAATGAGTGAATCAATTAATAACAATGATTTGAGTTTAAAACGACAACAATATAGACAGCAAAATACTGTCAACAACTCCCTTGCACATGTAAATACAGTTTCAAATCTGCACCGTCCTCACCTGCTTGAGCAGAGGCTGTTGATCAGCTGCTTCTTGTATTCCTCACCACTGAGTTCTCCTAAAGTTAAGTTACAAGCAACCATTCATCATCTTTTAAAAAGGTCCACCTTGTAGATAAAATGACTAGGCAAGATATTGTTATATTTGTAAAATAATAAATAACAAAGTTACTGTGGCTAGTAATTTGCACTTACCTTTGCCATAAGACAAGGCTTCACAGGCTGCAAGGGCAGTAAGCACTGTAGGAAATAGCTCCAGGGATTTCCCATTGCCCATTTTTCCCACCTTAATGGCTTCAACAAAAAGAGACGCCAGTTGTGCAAGAGAGGATCCAGACAGTGTATGAGTCTGTGTATAACATTTAAAAGGCAAACTGGAATTAGACAGAAACTATTTCAGTTAAGTCTGTGGCATACATTACATACAGCATGAACAAAGGAAAGGGAAAAGATGTGTCCAATCCAATCAATGTCAAAACTGATGGACAGAACAAGATGCTATGAAAATTCTTTTGGTAAAAAAAACAGTAAAAGGGAATTGAGACTGTTTTTATGATTGTTTTTAATGATTAGGTCTGTAATAGTCTCTACATTTTGGAATTAGGCTGATGTAGTGAATCAATCCATGTTTCTCATCCTTGTATCCTAATAACTTTAGGAGAGCTCAAAATAGCATTTAACATTGATGGGTTATTTGATTGCTGACTCAAAACCCATACATTTATTGGCCAATACAACCACAATCCTGGCAGAGGCAAGAAGTTACTTAACCTTATATGCTTGTCATTACTTGTCGCTGCCCTTTGACTGAAGAAGCATTATTATGCATATATGCTATATAAATGAATACTCTAGAAAAGTATCATCATCAAGCTTTTTTTTTTTTTACCTCAAGCATCAGCAGTCCAATGATATCAGACACCACCTCAGTCTGAAGGTTCCCAGACTCACACAAGGGGATGCAGTGTTGATAAACAAGAAGTCTGCGGTTCGATCCTTCAGTGGAACTGGAAGGAGAACCTGAACAACGAAGCATATTTTTTGGGGTGGGAGTCTCATTTTTGCATTTATTTTCCAGTCAGTGGAGAGGGACGGGAAAGGAGGGGATGACATGCAGCAATTAGCCCGGGATGGATTCAAACCCGTTTAAAATATCCTTGTGATAGGAGTCAAGCGTGATATTGAACTTGATGCAGTTCATACTAACATTACTGATGCATCTGAAGATAGATGTGGCAATATAAACGTAACAGTTGTGTTGGTGTCAAATTACTCACATAACAACAGTACCTGTATGACAATGTATAGCCCACTTACCTTCAAATATGCCTTTAATCATGGCACTAACGTTCTTGCCCTTTAATGCGTTGTTGGTAATCACAGTGATTAGCTAGAAAGCACATAGTGGAGAGGTAAGTATTTCTGACTGGATTTTTGGACAGTGCCACTGTTTTCTCAAGGAGAATTGAGATAAAACTGGTCATTTGCAATAACAACCTGGTCATTCTTGAGAGAGGACAGGTACTTCTGAAGTTCGGCGGTACTGTCTCCTCCTGACAGTAAGAGGATTTTATCAATTTCTCCCTTCATGATCGACCTGCAAACGGACAAAAGTGGGTGGTAAACGCAGAAAGAAATTCCCGTTTGTTGTCAACCTCGGCAGGGCTAAACTTGATCAACGTAGTGCACGAATGGAAGGTTTGCAGCCAATTTAATTTAGTCACTTAGTCCGTGAAAAGGTCAAATCAAGCATTCTGTGTCTTTGGTAACGCTTTCATAATAGTAGATGAACTTCCCGCCAGTGGACACTTCCTGTTTTGCTTTGTGGTTGCCACATTCGACACAAAGTGTCCCACAATCACAGCATTTGATCATGTCTGTTACATTCCACTGTAATACACACAATACAATTTAATACATTAAAATACATACAATGGCATGACATATGTTGTTGTATAACGTGAAGTCATTTAACAATACGCTATATACGTTTAAGTACCAGACTGTTTAGTGTTTTTTTACAAACCTCTTCACAAGCCACAAAGATAAGCGTAGTTCTTTGCTGGGTTGCCAGGTCTGGTAATTTTAAATGAGTTTGGGTTGCTTGATCCAGACCATCCATTCCCTTGAAAATCACAGTTTTGGACTTTTTTGTTTTAATTGTTGAGCTTGCCTGTGTTGACTCTTTCTCTTTCTTGACGGATTGATCAAATATAAGCACGTATTGGTTACTACTGTAACGATAATCAATAATCTTTAATTTTGGGTTTTAAGAGGGTAAGTAGACTATAATTTGTCTACGCTCGGACAGTGTTTAATAATTACTGTAAATTAGTCAGCTAACGCCAAATATGAATGTGTTTTCTTAACACTGTAACATTCATTCAGTATGAAACAACGTATATATACGCTCTAGAAAATCGTATGGTCAACCTTTAAATTAACAATGTTCCTCTCGTAATGTAAGTCGGGCCAGTGGCGCAATGGATAACGCGTCTGACTACGGATCAGAAGATTCTAGGTTCGACTCCTGGCTGGCTCGAATTTTTCCTCTTGAGAAAAACCCAAAATTCAACAATTAATGTATATTTTATTCAATTTCATAAATGTAAAACTGTGCGCTGTGACTTTTTAAAGTTAACGAAATATGCTATGGGATCGAGACTCCAGCACATGCTGTGACTAATGGTTTGACCAAATTTTACCAGGTGAGGTGTGCTCCACAGACAGCCCAACACTACTGGGCACTTTTCTGCTATCAAACTAAACTCGTGAAATACTCTGAGATCAATATTTTCGCAAAATGTGGCAGCAGGATTAACAATGATTCCCCGATTCCGGGCTCTTTTAAAAATTGAAAAATCAGACGATTTTCTGTGGACAGAGGACAGGACGTGTCTAGCGGCTGGGAGCTGAGAAAATTTGTTTTGGAATTTGAACTAACTATGTTTTGTAGAGAATTATTATTCTAACACTGAAGTACTGTTTGCAACGGATTTACTTTACTTTGCCATGAAGATTTTAAATACAAAAACATATGATCGGCTTGTAAAATATGATGCACTGTTACAGATTCATCTAGCAAGCAGCATATGAGTCGACAAAATTATTTCGACCTAGTTACAGTCTGATATTGCTATTTTTATTCAAATAAATTATCTAAATACTTCCCACTACTTATTGATCCTCAGTTAGTCATCGGATCACTGGATTTGATCCAGTGTTCATGCAACATATAGTTTTAATGTAACGAGAATAAAAAAAATAATCCTCTCTAATTTTTATTTATGTTTCTTTTGCCTCAGTTTGTGGACTTCTTATCCTGCTCTGAAATTGATTACTTGTGACTTAATATCTTGCTGGATGTCAAGCATAGATCCTCTTCATACACCTGCGTAATAATAACACGCTGTACATGACTTCTGGTAGGACGTAGAGGAGGAAGGAAAGTCACTACGCTCTATACGTGCACCGATGTGACGTCGGAAGATGTTTCTGCTCATGCTCGCAAGGACAGGAGGAGATCAGAACAGACTGCAGCTGATAGATGTGTTGTAGTGATGTAATGTTGCCTGTTTGGTGACTACGGATGGCTGTTTGTGCCAGGCTCTGCGGAGTGGGTCAGTCGCGAAGGTGCCGGAGGCGACAGCGGCATAATCAGCAGGATCAGGGCAGCGATTCCGACATGGACGAGGAAGAAGGGGAGCGGATCGTGGGCAAGAGGCAAGGCGACGTCTGCGGCGGCGGAGGCCCGGAGAGTGGCGTCGCCACTGCAGGGCCGAGTGACGCTTGTGAATATGGCAGCGGTCATCATGTCAACAGAGGAGGCTCGCTGAACCGCACGAGCACGGGACCTCCGCACCCGCAAACCTTAGCGGAACTACCCCCGGAGCTTTTAGTAGAAATATTCTCCTTGCTCCCCGGAACAGCGCTACCAAATGTGGCCCTCATCTGCAAGAAATTCAGACAAATCCTCAGTACTGAAACCATCTGGAGAAGGCGGTGCATTGAAGGTAAATTATCTCTACTGCATGCAGAGATAATTGAAACATCAACGGCTTAGATGGCTAAACGCAGCGTTGATTCGCATATTATGTGTTATGTGTTATGGGATTCCTACTTGTAGACAGGTTGTTTGTGTGAGACTCGGTGCACAACAGCGCTGGCTCCTCGGAAATGCTTCCCTTAAAAGCATTTCTATCGATCAGGACGGGAACCATGATGAAAATGAAAGCAGTCGCTGCGTCCTTAGTCACTGCTGTAACAAAAAAGAGCAAGGCCTCTCAATGTTTTTAGGCGGATTATAGCCATTCTGTGTGTAGCTGATAAGGCTGCTGATGCAGGGCCGACCTCAGCCTTTTGGGGGGACATGAGCATTATTGTGAACACCACACCACCACCAATGTCCCACCACTTTATAATCAGGAAACTACACTATGGCAAGGTTGGACAAATACTGTATGTCTCCAAAGTTATGTTAAAATTTAAAGATACACTTCCCGATTCCCTCCCAGCTCAATGCTCATGTTATGAGAGACCATGTCATGCTGGGCTGCTGAAGCAATTAGTCAATTAGGCAGCCAACTTTTTGAAAATGGTGGAAAATAAAACCCTTTATTATCTTACATCATGTAATATAAATTGTGATGTAATACACTTTTAGGTAAATCAAATGAGACATTCTTAATGTATAACATAACCAAAAAGATCTAATATTGCTACATATTGCTATATGTATATATATATTGTTCTATTACCCAGTGCGACTTCATTAATCCAATAGAGATACCAAACATTTTCTCCCTGCTGCTTAAATTGGTTGTGATCTGAGGAATGTTGTGTCCTTAAAAGTTACTAGCATACCAGGCAAGCTAAATAAGGTACTTACATTGGGAAAGGAACAATTAGTAGAAATTTAATGGGGACTACAACGACTTCTACTACTACTGCTAATAAGAAACTGTCAAAAACAAGACGTGATCTAATGCTGCAAAATACTGCAGTATACACACATCCAATCCTATTAATGACATGAATTTTCATTTTCTTTTCTTTTTTTGGGGGGGGGGGGTTGTTCTGCTTAGTTCACTTGTGGCTCAGGCAGGGTTGTGTTTAATAAACCTTGTGAATCACTGTGTAGCACACATGATCAGATCATGACCTTGTCTGCTGACTGGAGTTTAAGTTTGGACTTACTGCTGTAATGTATAACACCACAGTTCACATTATGAATTGGATAAATATGGAGCTTATCGACTGCACTGTTTAAAAACCTGACTTGCTGTATACCCATTTCCCTTACTATTAATACTGTATGGATACTTTGCGTGCGTAGCCCTAATAAATTTGAATTTAATGTTAATTTCCCTCATGTGTTTTCTCTCTGCAGAGTTTGGTATGAAGGAGGATCTGAGGAAGATGGAAGTGGGAGGTGTATCTAGCCGAGAGCTCTATGTTAAACGTGAGTTTGGCTGCCACTTAAACACCTCTAATGTCAAAGATCAGTTGATCCAATGAAGTATTTGGTTCCTTCCTACTCCATCACATCATTCAGCGTTTGCACCCTTAAGTGTCCCTAATGTCGACTGTGATTGGATGCAAATGGGAAGCATTGATATGAGTGTGGATTCTCTGTTCCACTAAGACTTTTGATGGTGCAACTTTTTCTTTCATGTATTGTTCCCCATTTGTTCCTCATTTGTTTATCAGCAGAGATATGGAGCTTATATTGCATTTTGAAAAAACAGCTGCCTCAAAACATACCAGGCAAAGTCGCAGCACCTGTTAGATTATGTTGGCCCATTTCTCAATTCATTGGCGTGCTGTGTTAGACTGAGCCCGCCATGGTCCGTGGTTGCTCTACACATGCCTGTGTTGTGCCTGTCCAGGTGTCAACCCACGGGTGAAGTCTGGGCGCTTTGTGAAGCTCCTCCCTGACTACAAGCACATGGACTATAGAGATGTGTACACACACTGTATGTACACGGCCATCAATGCAGATGGTTGCAGCATGAGGGGTTGTGTGTGTGTGTGTGTGTGTGTGTGTGTGTGTTTGCGCGCACTTGTGGAGGGGGGGACTCTTAACGATTGTTGCAGCAGTGTTATGCACCCTGTGTGAACATTGAACGTGGTGATAATTCTCTGCAGTGTTTGCTTTCATATTAAGCGTTAACTGGGAGGCTGGATAACTTGGTGTGCCGTGTGTGTGTTGTTTAGAAACTTGGCTGACAGGAACATGAGCAGTTTACACTTTCTTCTTTTTGAGTTTATATCTTATTGACTCTATCCTGACAGACACTAAACAAAAAGTTCAGTTTGTGGATTGTTACATCTTCTCTTGTGTTTCTAACCTTGCACAGTGCAGCTTCTAGTAGAGCATGGCTGTATCACTGCAAAAACTGACTATTATGGTGCAATGTTGTGCTTTTGTGTTGCAGTGCTTCACCCATACAGACATATTTTGGGTTTATGGCAGCCTGATATAGGCCCTTATGGCGGATTGCTCAATGTTGTGGTGAGTCATATTTCTCAATCAAGAAATTTGCATTAAGATGAGGAAAAATGACTTACAGTTTACAGTTTGTTTCACAAAAAGTCAAATGCTTATCATTTATGGTGCAGCAATATTCAGCAGCTATTGCTTTGGAAGCCTAACTTAATTTAGGATAATGTCAATGGCTGATAAATTATTAAAAGTGCTTCTCATTCAGGTGGATGGGTTATTCATCATTGGCTGGATGTATTTGCCACCTCATGACCCCCGTGTGGAGGATCCAATGAGAAGACGGCCGCTCTTCCGTATCCACATGTGGGAGACCAAAAAGGCCTCTGTGGAGTGTATGTACGGACACAAGGGCCCCCACAAAGGAGACATACAGGTAAGGGGTTCCACAGCACCGACGCGTCTCTGTACACCAAAGAAATGAGCACAACCAAATTTTGAGTATATTTTCTTGAAGCACATTCTTCTTTAATTTGAAGTTAGTAGCCATTAAAAGTAGGCCGTCCTCTAATATGTGTCATATTCTGTTATTTTTAGACCGTCAAGAAGGATGAATTTTCAACTAAATGTAACCAGACGGATCATCACCGCATGCCAGGAGGCAGACAGGAGGTGGGTCAAATCAGGGATCTGTTACCACCTGACAGACCTACCTACTGACCCGCTGATGACCCATTTGGAATTATTCACTCATCGTCATCCCTTAGCATTCAATGATCACTTTCATGTAAACAACGTGCAATATTAAACCTCATGTAAATACACTGATGATATTTAAAAAATATATATTTTTCTCTTTACTGTAACTACAAATTTTCTTCCATGTTCCATGTATAGCTTAAAACCTACCCTTACTAACTTAACTTAACTTAACTTAACTTAACTTAACTTAACTGATTATAGTTTTAAAGCCTGTATGCCTTGATAATGTCAAACTTTTTGTCAGACTGTCACCAGGGTTCTATAACTTGTGTGTGTGTGTGTGTGTGTGTGTGTGTGTGTGTGTGTGTGTGTGTGTGTGTGTGTGTGGGTGTGTTTGTAGGAGTTCAGGACATGGCTGGAGGAAGAATGGGGTCGGACACTGGAAGAAATCTTCCATGAGCACATGCAGGAACTCATCCTGATGAAGTTCATTTATACCAGTCAATATGAGTATGGGTCTTTTCCTCTGGTCACACTGAAATCAAATGTCAATTAGTTGCATCCCCTCAGTAGCTCAAATGGGTTAAACAATAAAGACAAGTATAGCTTTTTATCTGAAGAGATGGTTCTGATTTCTCGTGTGGATGAATGTACTGTATAACCTATCCACCTGGTAAAGCTGTGGCTTTCATATGCTTTCTTTTGACAGTAACTGCTTGACATACCGGAGGATCTATCTTCCTCCTACATTGCCCTCGGACCTGCTGCAGCCAGGCCTCTTTAAAGGCACCTATGGCAGTCACGGCTTGGAGATTGTCATGCTCAGTTTCCACGGGACGTCTGCAAGAGCCACCAAGCTCACTGTAAGTTAGTGAATAATCATTACCAGAGTCTGTTCTTGTCTTAAAAAGAAACTCTCCTCATGGCAGAGTTTTGTGTTCATACTGGCCCTGCAGTATAAAGTCATCGCAGGTTCCCGGTGAATTATTATATAATATAATATAATATATATATTAATTATTATAATAACATCCTGTAAATGTCCTACAGGTCCTCCTCCATCTCTCCAACAACAAACTATTCAGCCAAAATTCCTGATGTAATCATCACTCAAGCTTTTAACAGGCGTTCATACACACAAAGTGCCTTTGAATGTAACATTTTCACATTTTTGACATAGTAGATGAAACATTAACCCACCAAATTTCTCTGCTAGTGGTGCAAACTGTAATTGTACTCCTTCCTGCAGGGAGACCCCAACGTTCCTGCAGGGCAACTCACTTTGGATGTTGACCTGAGCCGGCCCGTGGTCCTCCCAGACTTGGAGCACCAGCGCAAAATAGAGGAACTGTCTCGGCTTGTACTGGGGGTACACGAGGAAGTGCAGAGGGAAGTTGAACAACGGGCTAAGGACAGCTCTGCCACAGTCAATGGTGCAGCAGAGGGGGCCTGTGGTGGTGCCAGCGGAGCGGAAGGGATGGACATAGACCATGGTGCCTGCTCAGACAGCTGTGAGCCTGGCCCCAGCAGCAGCAGCAGCAGCAGCAGTCCTCCTGAGGCCCAGCCATTCGTCCTGCCCCTGGGGGTTATGGCTCGTAACGAAGTGTACCCTCGCACCTGCAGGAAATGGTAAGAACTCAGCTAAAACGACATGAAAACGCCTATTGTATAAATTCCACAGGTGGACTGATGCCTGTAGATTCCTTCGCCACAGTAACAGTGGTGTTAGACACGGTGCGCCTATTGTTCTTAAGCTGTTGTAAATCACGTCATTGTTAAAAGTTCATGGCCAACAGGCTGAAATAATATCAGCCACTAAAGAATTAGTCATATGATGAATGCTGGCTGAGCAGCAAGAATTATAGCTTTATAGCCAAAGATGTTTAATTGAGCATATAAAAAGGTCAATTAATTAAACTGCGTATGGCGCAGAATAGACAGATGGTTGAGAGTGCCTGCTCTGGTGCATCAAAGCCAGGAGAAATATTTGACCAGTCACAGGCATTAGTTTGGAGCTCACTGATGGACAGACCTCAAAACAAAAGCAGCTGCTACAAGCAACCTGCAAGAGAAATATAACTGCAGATTTTTTATTTTATTTTGTTGCATGTTAAGGTGTCATTATTATTATCACCTACGCACTGAAGGAAACATTTCCAATAAGATTGTTGACTATAAATTAAAAATGTATTATTTTTGTCCTAATCTGTTCAATACATAATATTTATTAATACAGAAGGAGATTGCTATAAAACCTTATTCAAAATAATCTAACAATTATTACAAGTTATTGATAATTAAAATAAATACTTCAATAATAACATTACCAGTCATTATTTTCTACAGTAACTGTTTGTGAGAACCAAGTCAATAAACAATTGAAATGGTCATCCATCAAAATATTGATTAATTGACAAATTGATATTCCTCCATTTCAGCTTCTATGGGACAGGCCTGATCGCTGGGCATGGCTTCACAAGTCCAGAGCGCACCCCGGGGCTTTTTGTGCTGTTTGATGAGGACCGTTTTGGTTTCATCTGGCTGGAGTTGAAGTCTTTCAGTCTGTACAGTCGCCTGACGGACCATCTAGCCCACGCTCACGCCCCAAACATGGAGCGATTTGAGGCCATGCTGCGCAACATGCAGTCCTGGACATCCTGATGCACCAAGCTTTAAGTCTCCTTCCACAATACAATGCATAACAAAAACCATTACACACGAATCACCTCTGTCCTCCGCCGGCAACAATAGTATCATGATAGATCATGACCTTAACTCTTGAGGGTTCTGTCTGTATGTGTTTCACAAACATTGGGTTTTACTGTCTAATTAAGCTAGCTATATCACCCTGACCTAGCACTCCCGCACTCCTGTTCCCAGACAAGCACTTTTAAAAGGTCTCATGAGGCAATGTTTATCACCTCACCTCTGTAGAACCTTAATCCTCCAGTGCAGCATGATAACAAGTCGCAAGTTCTTAATTTATTTATTTATTACCCGCAGGAGAAAAAGGTATGATATTTCATACCGCTTATTATGGATCAAACTGTATGTGCCTCTGATTCGAAAACCATGTCTGTACTCGGTAGTGCTTGAAGAAGGTGTCCAATGTATTCTGCTATATAGTATTATAATAATGTCAGTGCCCAACATATTATAACTGCATGCTGCGTTTTATTTAGATCTTATCATACGATACACTCATAATCATTATCTGATCATGATGTTTTTCTTTCATGAAGCAGCATGCCTTACTTTTTATTTTCTATTAATTTATTATTATTATTACTATTATTATTATTATTTTTGCTTTTGAGACATCAGAATTTAGAAAAATACAGCATCTCAGGTGTTTTTCTCTTTGCCACAAGTCAGTTAAAACCAGGACGAAAGTATTTATGTGTATAACAAAAATGTATGACGTTACATTCATTTTTTTAATTTGTCCAATAGAAATACTGAGTGGGTTTTACAACCGGGCAATTTTCTAAACATTGGCGAGAGACGACTTGCTGTCTTATCATGCACCGTAGCTTCATAAGCCAGTGTTAGGCAGACTGATATGTTTTTGTCCTTTGAACTTTAGCGATATCTTTTTCAGTGATATGCTTTGGCTCATGGTCTTACATCAAACATACTTTTAATCTCACAACACCACCACAAAATATTATGTAAGTTGGAAAGATGTATTGCAATAGAATAGCATAATCTATACATAAACTGGATTTAATCAAAGTATCAAAATTATACAGTTTATGTGCTTATATAATTATGGTCTGAAACAGAAACTTGTCTTACCTTTGAAATGTATTGCATTTGTTGTGTTTAAATGGCTGTCACAGTGTTTGCCTGGCTTCATGCCTGCAAAGTTATTCCCTCCACTTTTCCAATTTATTTCAAACCTGAGACCAGGCTTGCTGAACATTACACAAACTAACAGCTCAAAGTGCATCTCCAAGTACCAAGTAAGTGTCTGTATGTCTCATTATGGCCTGATGGTGATGCCCAGTAGCTTTCTTACTCCAAGTGCACTTGTCTGGGCAAAATAGTGAATCATTCAAAACCACTGGCCAGCACTTTTATATCAGACTGCAGCTTTACTAAAAATTGCAAAAAAAAAAAAAAAAAAGATTGCTGAAGCAACATTTGATTTATTTTGTCACATTAAATTAATTTCCTTTCAATTTTAGTACATTTGTTTTATACATTCTCTTGTCTGTAAGCCCTCTGTACCCAGCTATTTGAATGATTTGCCTTTGAAAAGTCTTGCTTTGTACTATTTTCAATGCCATACACCTGATTTTGTGAAAAACAAACTAAGTTTGACCTATTGAACTGCTCACATTGGACTTCAGGGAGCTTTTCAGCTTAAGCGCTCTTCTCAGTAATAAAAATAAAAAACTGAAAAGAACCTATTTGTTAAATCTGTTTATTTTTTCTGTTGTTTGTATGTGTATCACACTGCTGTCATGCAAGAAAGCCATTCACAACTCTTACCCACTATGATTATCTTTAGTGCCACAGTTGAATTTTGGTGACATAATAGTTTGTAGTACTTTGCTCAACAGAACTATATTACACAACCCCTGTGATAAACTAAGCCCAAAATAGCAAACCAACAAACCACTGTTGTTAGTGTGAACTATTATCTCAAATAATCCATGTTAACCCTTTCACATCAATTGTCAGTGTATGTGTGTGTCAGGGATACAAACAACCAGATACCTTCAAAAGATTTTTATTTTGTATCAGAATCCAGATCACACAGTACATGTATCCCATGACTTAAGATGCCTTTCTACTACATATTTCCTTTGGGGCATTTAGATCTTATAGTAGTACTCCCTATTAGAAGTGATTTGCTCTAGATTCAAATTGATGTTCAATGTACAGTGACTATAAAACAAACTAAGCTAACTTTAACTTTGAACTCAATACTGCTGCCACACAAACATTTTAAGTTCAACTTTGAAATTTTAAAATCTTAGGGTTTCAGGTTAAATTTTGAAAGGATCTCCTTTTTAAATTTCATATAATGTATGGTACTTTGTAAAGGTTACAGTAAGTACTGCTGGATTTTTATTTGTTTCTCAGTGTCTTACAGCAAGTCTAATGCTTTACTGGCAGACTTGTTGGTGGTTCATGATGAAATCAATTTTTAAAAAACTGATTGAGCTGACTTTTCTACAATTCGCTGTGCTCCATTTTCTCCTTATGTTCTTGGATCTTCTCTGGGAGGGTCTGAGTCAGGAAGACAAACCGCCCCTTCTTCAGGTGATGACCAGGTACCTGTTCCTTTAAATCAATTGCCAGGTAGTCTTCTTCTGCTCCATACTTTGGCCAGTGAACAAGGCCTTCCCTGTTAGGAGACCTACTCACACACACACACACACACACACACACACACAATATTAACAAGATTGTCTTATCTCCATGTATATGACAAATTACTGTACAATGAGGAGTAGTTCCTACCCTGTGCGAGCAAAGTTGCCCCAGTAGCTCATCATGGTTTTGCTAAAATGCATCTCCTCTTCAGGGCATGTATCTAAAATAATGATAATCTGGTAAGACACTTTGCACTCCAGGAAGCCCACATATCTGGTGATCTATTGATGCAGCAATTCTTATATTACACTTACCAGGTAATGTCACATGGGTCGTTGTAAAACAGAATCCGAGTACTGCAATGATTTCATCTCCATGGTCACTCCCAACAAAGCTTGGCCTTTTTGCCTGCAGGATTTTGGGAGGATGCTGGTACTCATACAGATATACAGGGGCACCTGCATCTGGTAACAGACAAATGGGTGTTATATTGTGTTTATGAAAGTGTGGGACAATAAATATCAAATAAAGGTTCTCAATTAGATTTGCATAATCATGTATAAAGAATTACCTCTGTGGGCATTAGCACTCTTAATGGCTGGAATGGTAAATAACAAATCACCAATTATCTCAGTCAACCCATTTCTATTTTTCACACGATCTTCGCCGGTTCCAATATATTCATGTGTCATCAGATCTATGATGAACGGCTTGAGAAAATGAGGGACACATCTGTCAGAGAAGCTTGAGCATGATAAGGAAGGGCAATACTGTAATGTCAGGCAGCGTGTGTCTTACATCATTTTGAAACATTAACAGCATGTTCGTGACATGCTCCCGATCAATCCCCTCTGTCCAGTTTGGAGGAGCAAAGAACTAAGAGAAGATGAAGCTACAATTAACATTTCAGACACACAGAAGCAAAACAAGACAATTTAAATTTCATGGGCTGATTTGGAATACGGTGAGCTCTTGAATCACACAAATTTCAGTAACAATTCAGCATTTTGCACTTACATTAGTAAGTAACCAGCCCCCTTCATCATTATTAACGCCGGTCATGAATGGTATAGTGAGAAATTCATGATTATTGTACAGTTCATTCACAGGTTTTGTCAGGAAGTGTCCATCGACATTTATGGGATATCTAACTTTTTCATCCTTGAGAGAATAAAAAGTATAAAAGAAACAGTTACAGTTACATGAAATCCAAACATTTCACAGAAATCTTGCAGAAGACATTAAGACATTACAGGCTTGTGTTCAACTAATCCTTTCAAGTCAGTCTACATCAGCTTTGTATACAGCATCTCACCTCCCCAATTTTCAAAATAGTTTCAAAATCAAGGGTTTTCATGCAATGGGCGATCTTCTCTGAGCTTTCCAGGCTACAGCCAGACACATTTGCTATCATCTGAGGACAGGAATATAAGGGATCCATCACAACAGTTTAGAAATACAATGATGGTCTCAATATTGTGCACTGAAGAATGTTTACACCCAAAAGTAGGCACATTGATAATTGACCTGCGTCACTGGTAGAGGATCATCCAATACAAGTAAATCCATTGCAGCAGTGCCACTCTCAGCAATGGCATGGTGGATCAGGCCATTAGACAACGGTGAGAGAAGCTGTTAATTAAAGCGAGAGAAGAAATGACAGGTTCTGTGGACAGTAGTAACTTTGCAGTGACATAACTGTGCGATGCAACAAAAAAAAAAAAAAAAAAACAGAGTTTATTGAAAGGAACCTTCTCTCCAGGTTGATTCTTACCAGTAGGGATACACTCACTCCACCAGCAGACTCCCCGAATATCGTAACTAAATCTGGGTCTCCACCAAAGTTGTGAATGTGCTGCTGGATCCACCTCAGAGCTTCTACCTGGTCCAGCATTCCAAAGTTCCCGGACATGTGCTCATCTCCAGTGCTGGATAGAACATACAATTATCGTCTACCAGGCTGCGTTCACACCAGCTGGTAAAAGTGACCCAATTTTGAATTTTTGTTCAAATGCGGTACAGGCCAAAAGTGACAGAACATAAATAATAATTGTATATTCTGTGCTTAGTAACTTGAGTGTTTTTTACCTGAGAAAGCCCAGAAGTCCCAAGCGGTACTGGATCAAAACCACAACCACATCTTGGTGAGCAGCCAGGGCGGAGCCATCATACAAAGAGGCTGAACCTATAGAAAATCCTCCACCATGGATCCAGACCATGACCTTTTAAAGTAAAGAAAGACCCTTATTTTTTCCATGAAGTAGAAACAACATTTTTACTTTATTCTAATTGAGCTCACCTCATAAGAATTTCAATCAAACTACACCAACACAAACAGCCTTCAATCTGACTAAATCCTGAAACTGATGGTGACAAAACAGGACTGGATATTTTGAGGTAATCCCATTCCAGTCTGGTTCTGAATATAGGCATCATTATTCAAACTGCCATTAGGAATACTTTAAAAGCAATCAAACCAACTTCTGCAGCTGAACCTCTGTAACTGAGCAGCATTACTCCAAACGGAGATTACTTACTGGAAGCTTGGCATCAAGAGCTCTGTTTGACGGAGTGTAGATGTTGAGGTAAAGACAGTCTTCTGAAATGTCTGGAATATCTGTCACGATGGCGCCAAGTTTATCAAGGAGATCTATTGTCACCTGTCTAGGCTGAACACACCTAAAAATAAGGTTTTTTTTAAATCATTAAGTATTGGACATGATTCCTACAACTGTTGTGTGCAAGCACGATTCTGGATGGATGCCTTACATGGGCGGCTGCTTGGTCGCGTCTCTCACTCCTTCCCATCCCTCTACAGGCTGAGGTGCAGCCAGTCTCAGAGCAGGGCCTATGGGTGGCTTGGCAAATGGGACACCCAGGTAGGCATAGACTCCAGTCTCCTTCTCCTTTACACTCACATACCCACCTCTCAGGCTCCCGAGCTTTGTGTGGACTTCAGGTGCTGTCAGGATATTAGGACTGAGTGAGAATCACAATGTGACATCTCACAATTTATCAGTTCAAGTACCTGGGGAAAAATATGTGTTATAGCTAAGTAACAAATATAACTCCTCCAAATATGACATATTTGATTGTTTTGCGGTTTGTGTTTACACAATCAGGTGCAACTGACAAATTAACTAGTCTTAGAAAATACAATAACTTTCCATTTGATTTTAGCCACAAGATATATTTTCCCATCTCCAATTTTGCCATACTGTCTGTGTAACTAGTTCAAATTCATGTAACTGACTAGGACTGGAATAAATAGTTCAATAATCAGTTAGTTGATCAGCAATAAACTAATCAACAACAATTTTCATTGTTTCAGTCATTAATTAAGGAAAACTGCCAAACAAGCAATTTGAAGATGTCATCTTGGTCTCTGGAACAGTTTCCTTCATGATTACATTTTTTAGTATTTGGAAATGAAATTGTATACAATTAATGATTAACCAAAAATACTGACAGATAAGAAAATAAATATTGCAATAATAGAAAAAACAATGAATAATTGTTCGTTGCAACTCTATTATGGTAGCAAAACTAGTTTTCAACTAAATCTAAAAATTAAACTAAAATCAAGTTAAACCGGAAAACGCTCACCCATTCAAACTTTTTACTGTTCAGGTTACAGAGCTACACCTTGATTCAACTTTGACACACTGAATGCAGTTTTATATGCAATGGAGTGTGTGTGTGTGTGTGTGTGTGTGTGTGTGTGTGTGTGTGTGTGTGTGTGGTATGTGCGTGTTTTTTGTGCGTGTGTGTGTGTGTGTGTGTGTGTGCGTGTGGACAACAGAAATGATTGCTAAAGCTAAAAAAGAACAAGATTACGAAAGAGGAAAAAGATATTCTGTAAGCGAATGCTCAATTGTGATAATTTTACACCCACATGTTTGAACACACACAGTCATTCCCATAAAGCCAGCATTTAAATGGCTTATCCTGAATAATTAACTTAATTTTTCACCTTTGGACACAGCATATCGCCAGCAAGTAGGTGTAAGGTAACGCCGATTAGTAATGTGGAATATAAAGCCCAGCAGACCGTGTTTCACAGTAATATTAGAACAGCTAAGGGGCGTTGTTAATCACAGCACGGAGCAACAACAAGGGATTCAGTCCTATGAAAAACACATTCAAACAATACTGCAGCTAGAGTATGTTATTCAGATAATGCAGTCAGATCTAAAAGCAACACTTTCTACTTGTTATCGCTGTGCAAAGAACTTAGTTTTCTCCAACTTACCAAGTGGGTCTACAGCAACGCTGAGACATAAAACAGACATTAGACAGAAGACAGTTTGCTTTGCACAGAACTTCATGGTGGTCGTCTTGCCTCCTCCTCGCACTCTGCTGGTTTCTGAAAAGAAGACGCGCCAATAGAAAATCCTTCCTACTATGAAGGGCTCTCTTTATATCCTTGACCCGGATAGTACTGAAATTGCCTGCAAGATAGGCACGTGACTCAGCAGCCCTTATTCTTGCAGCAACAGGTGATCGACAGACGTCCCACCCCGCTCACCATAGCACAAAGCATTTTCCCATCAAGAGTTTGTGTCATCTGCCTCTGACAAGCTAAAACATGATATTGGATTAATCTGTCTATATTCTACACTAACAGAGAACACACATGTTACTGACTTGCAAAATTGTATTATTTTTATTTTAACCAAGATAAAAGTACGATTATACCAGTTGTACCAAAGTGAGAGCAGAATAGTAGACATTTATCCCACAACAAAAACCAGTTTGGTTCTCAAGGTTCCACCAAAGACCTGAGCAGAAGAACTATGCCTCACAATATACAGTATATGGTTAAACTGTTTGTTTCAGTATAAGTTGATAAGTTCTGGTGCTGAGTTGAGAGGTCCTATGGCCAAAACCTTAAAAGAAAACTGAACTTGAGGATGTAGTTGAAAACTGTTCTGCTAGCCAGTTTTACAATGACAGATTTTAGTGGCCATGCTAAATTATACTATTACTGTCATTAGCCTATTTATTCTATTATTGTTAACCCAGTAGTTGTTCAACCACTTCAACATATGAAGTGATGGCTGCACTTGGAACCTCACAGATGATGTTCTTCAACTTCCCATTACCTTCAGCAACTCCACCATCAACTCATGTATAGACATCCAGTCAAGCTGTTCCTCACACCACTCAACAATACAGGAAGAGAAAACAGGAGAGGGAACTTCAAAGTTCAGGCCTGCTTACTGGCACTGTCACAAGAAAAAATTTAAAGAAGAAAGACATTGTCCTTTGCAGAAAGCACAAGCCGGAGAGAAAGCCTCTATCACATCTTCAGTACTTTGGCAACTGGTTGCCCATAGCGGAGAGTCTGAGACTCAGTCAGTAAAATGGAGGGCTCTGCTGGAGAAATTATGTAATGGAAAAAAATAAGCTTCTTTAAATTTCTGTTTGAATCTTTAATGCCTATTTTATTTTTATTTTGGTAATGGCTTGGCTCCACGCGTCCCCTTAAAGGGAAATCTCACTGCACATGAATACAAAATTATTCTTTTTTTAATGTCAACATATGAGAAATAGACAGAGGACTAACAAATAGGGCAGAACACAGTGTTTAAATGGGCGAGACAAAGTGAAGAGCGGGGTTGGGTCAAAGTTAGTGCCAATTTGTATATGTGTGTGTGTGTGTGTGTGTGTGTGAGTGAGTGGGGTGGGGATGATGGTGGGGATTGTGTTGGGGTTTGTACCTTCATTATTTGTTTTGTTGCTTCTGTTATTTATCTTGCACTTTACTTCATTACATTTTCTTGCACTTTCTAGATTTAATGCTTATCAGAGTTAAGTGTGCTTGGCTCAAGGCTCAGGGAAAGAAACAGTCCATGAGTCTGGTGGTCCATGCTTTGATAGTCCTTTAGCTCCTGCCAGGGCAACAGGTCAACAGCTGGTATCCAGGATGCGAGCAGCGCAATCTCAGGGTGTATTTCATGCAATTTTTTATCGGTCCTGGGAAACAGGACTACGGATCAAAATATACGTGGTTCAATTCCTCTCTGACTCAGCTGGTCACAGAATGAAATACCCTCTCAGTCATACCAATCGCTGAATAGTCGTGGTGTGAGTGGTTAAAACATCTGAAAAATATTACGAGTTACATGAAATTTAATCCTCGACAGTCCAAATTGATTTGCCAACCAGTTTCAGGTAACAACCGGTGACAACTGCTTGAATCTGTGTGACCAGGTTATAACCAACATTAGGGGCGTTGCCAAACTTATAAGTTCTTCTATGGCACCTATGCATTCAGAATTACTATTCAGAAACCGTCAATCATAAAACCATCGCTTACAGATACTCGTTTGTTCCTTTCATGGTAACGTAACGTTGTTTGGTGAAAGTGCGATGATTTCTGCCAAAGCCATTTTTAGATTATTAATATGACACAATTAGCTAAACAGCTCAATACGTCTCAGTGCCAAAGTTTCCACCTGTTACAATGATACAAGATGTACAGTAACTAAGGTTAAATCTGCTGATGACTTTGCGTGTTGTTTCATCTGTGTTGACTATTGGCGGCACACTCCTCTTGTCTGAGCCTGGGATCCCCGCAATGAGTGAGGAACCTTCCATGTGAGGAACACGCGAAGGCAGGGGCTCATCTCTCGCGAGGAACGGCGCCGTTATCGAAATCTCTACAAACAACACGAGAATTCATCATTCACACGGTAATATAACCCAATCTTACACGGTACATGTGTTGTGTGCCAGCACTGGAGGAAAGAAGCTGAATCAAAATCAGATTTTATTATTATTTCTTCCAACAGTTTACGATTTTTGCATTGCATTTCGACGGCCTTTAGGCCCCACTAGCATGCTAATCACCACGCTAGCTTAAACAGCGACTCCTTACCCATACTTTAGCTTTAACGTTAGCACGCAAATCCGATTTTGAAGCGCCGGCTAACATTAGCTAGTCTGTTTCTGTTCATGCTAGTTAGCTAATGCGAAATGGAACGGATTTTCCGCTGAAACATGGTAGTAACAATGTTAGCTGGGGTACATTTTTTGAAATTACTCAAATACCCAAATTACGTCAGTTTTTGTTTTATTTTGCCCATGCCTAATATCGTTATGAGACCCCCGCCCAGTTAGCTACCTAGCCTTAACGTTAACAGTGGAGTGCCAGTCAAAACGCAGTTAGCCAGGCTAGCACGACTTTACCAACTCTGACATTTTCATGGTCGTAGCAGCCAAGAAGGTAGCATCCAGGGAAGCAGGGTTTATCCAGAACAGCTGCACCCTACTCCCTTTTCCTCATATTATCAGAGCTAACGCTAGCTAATATCACCCGTTAGTTAATAACATGCGAACCGCTTTTCTAGTATAAATTTAGTTGCTGTGCTTCACAATGACACGTTTTTCATTATTCTCACGAAATTGCCCACATTAATTCATGTTGGACTGAAATATGCAATTTACCATGCTTATACAACTAGAGGGGAAGCTTGTACATGATCTCTGGATACCTGACTTCTCAGACTAATAAACACACCGTCACTGTCCCCTTACTTGTAGTTGGATCTGAGTTGTCTCTCTTTTCTGAAGAGACATGTCCCTGTAAATATTTAGATCCTAAAAGTACAGTATTTACAGTGCATTCGTATTTGACTGGTAATTGAAGTTGTTGATGTAGTCATGTATCCTTACATGTATTACATAAACTATAAAGAAATTTTATTTTCATTGTGATTCCATAAGGTGACTGACATTGCATCAATCAAAATTGCTATTAAAAACAAAGCAAAAAAACAATCTTGGGTGGATACTTTTATACTTGCCTGTGAATTTTACTCCCTCCAATTTAGAACCTGTAAAATTCAGCTGTCACACTCATGCTTACAATGTTATGTACCTAAAGAGGCAAATTAATTCAGATGAAAGCGCAAATAAAAACTATGGTAGACTTAAAGGCATAGTAATTAGACAAGAAAGGGGATTTTGTTCATTGATTTGATGCACAGAAATGAATGTTTACTCATGTTTGTGTTTCATTTGTAGATGTCTGTACAATTATGGAACACAAAATACTGATTGTGCAATCAAAAGCAAATACAATTACATCACAACTCTTTCTTACTACAGTGGAGGTACATCATATTGGTAGGACATGGAGACAAATGGGATATCAGTGGTGTACAGACAAGCGCTTTTATTGTAGCAGTCGTATCGTATGCAGTTCCTGGGAAGGTTAGTACAGACAAGATAAAAAACAGCATTATAATGTGATTAAAAAGTAGCAGTATATAGTACATATGGCAATCATACCTCATAACAGAAGAGTATAAACATTACCAAAGACGAAGTATAGTGTTACATTCACATTGATCAGTTGTGTTCTTGGTCAGAGGTAAATTATTTCTGTATGACAATTTTTTAGACATCCCTGAATCATACAAACAAATGAAATGCAGTATATATTGTTTGAGATGACTTCAGTTGTGTGACACGTAATATTTTAAGTGGAACAGACACAACATAAAGCTATTCTGCCTTCTAGTAGCATGTCAGTAAAGAAATATTTTTGCTGTCCTGCTTTTTTTTAAATTTCAGCTGTGAACAATGTCTGAGCAAGAGCTGGATGAAATTGTGCAAATTACAGTGGAGGACTTTAACCAGAATGACCGTACAGGTAAGGAGTCCTATGAAGCAATATGAAAACCTATTATTTTTCTGTCTATTCTGATCAGTGTACTGTATAGTGAATTACTGGATATAAACATTCTCTTCTCTTTTTCACCAGATGTGGTTAGGTTCTGAATTAAGCAAGTGCAGCACTATTAATCATGGGCATTTAATCCATAACTCTAACTGTTATTTTGAATGTGTATAATAAACACTATATGGGGTTCGAGTTCAGTATCAGCGGATGATCGGTACTATTGGATTGGAACAGGGACATAGCTTTGATCTGGACATTTCAGGGTGATATTAATTAAAAAAAAAAAAAAAAAAAAAAGTCTGTTAATTTTGTTTCAAGCGTGTCTCTGTATGTGATTCATGCCAGACATGCTGGACAGTCATGAGGACGATGAAGAAAGGCCTCAGAAGAAAAAGAGGAAATTAAGTAACAGTCAAGAGAGCAACAGCAACAACCAAGACATACATTTTATCAAGGTAACAGCTCTGTATAATGGACACTGTGTAAAGCACATACATTTTTATATTTTTTTTACAATTACTGGATGAAAATAACATTCCAGCGATAAATTACACATTCAAAATCTTATTCTCTTCCCAGAACTTCTTGGTTTCATTCACCACATCAATCAGCCACCGGTTGGAGGGAATTGAGTCAAAGTTACAGGCTCTGGATGCCACATGCAAAGCCCTTGGACGTAAACTGGACAGCATGGTACCCTGTGCCAAGAGTCCTATCCAGGTTCCTATGATTGCAGGGTCGCCTCAGGGGGCCACTCAAACTTGGAACAAAGTGCGATGGTAAGTTAAAAGTGTTTGCCCACATTCACCTTTTGAGCTGTTTAAAAATTGTGTTCATTCAGACGTGGAGTGCAGTCCAATGAAGTAGGTGTAATTTTTTTTAGAGGGCAAAGGTCCTTTCAGTCATTTGACAAAGCTGTATTGTGATTATAGGGACCAGCAGAACCAGGTACTTAGGCTTAGTTTAGACTGTGCAAAGCACACAAATATGTGGCAGTTAATCAATCAATTTGTTTTCAACTTCTCTTTCAGTGTTGTTCCACAAACAAATGTGATAGTGAGCAGTGAACACCCAAAGGGCTCTACCCAAGAGGACACCCCGCTAGAGAACCTGCTAAGCAAGTAAGTGGCTCACATTGACTCTATACAGTATGTTTAGTGAGAAATGTTAAAATCCTTTCCAACACAGTGCCTCATAAACAATGCCAGGTTCACTGTTGGGCAAAAGTAAACAAATGTCCAATTCCCCAATTTCCAGTCTTAGCAACAGAGGACTGTACGGAATCTGATTTTTATGTATGTTTGACCTGCTGATTCTATATTTGTGCTTCTTTTCAGCACTGTGACAAGGCGGCGGCAGAACACAATCCTGGTAAAGGTGCCGGGCCCTGAGGAGAGTCAGGAGGAACAGGAGAGCGGCTCAGAGGCCAGTGACTCTGTTTCCAATGGTGGCCATTCAAGCAACGCGCAAAATGGCCAAAATGTCACACTCATCACACTCAATTCAGAAGGTATGACTCCATGCTGTTGATATAGACACATAGAAAACACATACTCTACTACATAATGTATGTGTTATTGCCCTTGTCCTATTTTAGTCTGTACTTCTCACATGTGTATATACATACAATTACAAGTAAAAGTTACAGGTTTATTGGTTTCAAAATCAAATTTTTTTCCAGGTATAGAGAATGATTACCACCTTGGCCCAAATCTCTACAGTCAGCCAAAGGAAACACAAGTCTTACATCTGCTACGTCAACAACAAAACTCTCTTTGCTTTATTTAGACTGTCAACATGACTTCCAATTCTTTATGATTTCTCAGCACTAGCAGGGGAACAATGCCTATCTCACAAATAACAAAGCAGCAGTGGCAGTCCTCTGTTTCAACTCTATAATGCAGTAGGCAGTTGTAATATATTATGAGGATAATTATCCCACATTAAATTGTTTATAACTACTTTAAATAACTGCTTTTAATTGCACTTGTCTAATGTGGCTAACTCATTTCCATATTGGATGGAAAGCGAACTGTGCTGATGTGTCATTCATGTCCCTGTGGTTCTTTCTCAGACTGTACTGATAAATGTTCTGATTGGTCATTCATGTTTTCAGTAGCTTTACTCAGTGGTTCTGGCTGAGCCTTAGAGACAATGGTTCACTTGTAATTGTGCAAACCTAAATGAAGTCCACATTGTTGTTATATTTTCAGTGATTGTTGGTTTGGTCATTTGCAGTGGACTTGGGAAGTTCTTGGTTATCTTCAAAGGCAAACTATTGTTCATTTATTTGCAGCTGTGGGTTACCATGATAAAATAATGTTAGTCAGCATTAGCTAGATAGTACCATGTGGTGTTCAGAACAGTGTGTCTCATGCTTTGTTTGTGACTTTGTTTGTGTGGTGGGCTTAACAGCTAACATATGCTGTGAGCGAACAGCCAAACCACATATTCTGCCTTTTAATATCTTTAATAATAAGACAGGTTTGCCCATTTTTTACGTAGTTCGTCTTTATTGCCACATGGGTGTGCTATTGTATTACACGGTACAGAGTCTTGGTGCCTGTACCAGTGTAGTATGGATTGAGTATTGATTCACACTCAACCTGTGAATCAATTCATTTTGTAGAGTGGATATATTTTGCTTTTCTTCAGTGAAGGAAAGGTAGAATTTAATTGGAATTTACATATTGTCCATCATTATTATTATTATTATTATTATTATTATTATTATTGTTATTATTATTATTAACAAACTACAGGTTTGTTGAAAGAGAGCTGTGTAGCTGTGTTTGAAGAAATGTTCCTCCTCCGTCCTCCAGATGATTATCCAGAGGGCACCTGGTTGGGTGATGAGAACAACCCAGAGATGCGAGTTCGTTGCCCGGTGTCTCCAGCTGACATGCTTCATATCAGCACAAACTGCCGTACAGCAGAGAAGATGGCACTGACGCTGTTGGACTACCTGTTCCATCGAGAGGTCCAAGCCATGTCAAATCTCTCAGGGCAGGGCAAACATGGCAAGAAGCAGCTGGATCCGCTAATGATCTATGGCATTCGCTGTAAGTCCTGACCGTCTAGTATTGACAAGCGTATCAATTTCATGCCAACTGCTTCACTTTGTGATAGGTTATAGACAGTGATAGTACCTGGTGGTAAACTGCATGACAAGCCAGTTTTCAAAATGCGTCTTTTTATGTACCAGCTACCAGAACTGACAGACCCTTTCGAGCCTCAGAGGTAAATCCAGAAAAAAATATCCTTAAAAGTATGCATAGGAGCTGACATTTTGTTGTTTTACCCCTTGAGTCCTTGTCAAGTGATTCTGAGGTGTTTGAACTTGCAAGTTTGTGATGACTTAGTTGGCAATGCCACCCACTAATAACTGCCAAGGCAGTGTCTAGTAACTGATGTTAATCATGTGATTCATACATGATTTCTGCATAATTTAAATTATAATAATAAATGTCACTCAGCTGGAGTTTAAACCCTTGCCCCCCAATAATGAACTCTCTGAGACCTTCCCACATTTCATCCGTGTTCCATTAGAAAGCGGTACTGAATTGAACACAGAAATAGACTGCAGTCTGTATTCCCAAGGTGGGTTACAACAACATGCATTCATCACTGCACACACACGCATTAATGTGCAACACATTTTATAACATACCAGACTCTAAATGACAAGCACATGTCTGGTAGAAAGATCCTAATGGAGTCACCCTCAATTCAGTGAACCCTTTGATTCCTGATTAAGCAGACTCAAGGTTATGGTAGTAGACAGATGGATATTTATGAAAGTCCTATGGCCATATACTATATTTACATGGCTCGTATTATATTTTAAAGTGGGGCTCTGTTAGCTGTAGCCTATTCTACAGAGGTCATCTTGTGCCCCCTGCAGGCGGTTTTAGTGAACATCCCCAATGGCATTACACAAGTGTTTGTGTACTTGGTTACCCGTATTTCCTCTCAGCAGTGTGGGTGTGTGTAGTTACATGCAGATTTGGCCTGACATAGAGGTATGCAGAGGCTGGAGCATTACCATGTGACTTTTGGGTGACTCATTCTTCCAGCCTGAAAAAAAGGAATTAAGGAGCACCTGCCATGCCTGTCTGTACAGGACCCATCAGGTGTGAAATGGCTGCTGTATTCTGTCATCCCACTATCTGCTGATACCCCTCAACTCTCGTTTTGTCTCATTTTCTAGCCTCAGGCTACACGTGTTGTTAATTTATGTAGAAATGAGCTGTCAAGCGGCTCACCCCCTTTAAACAGTTCATGGCACTGAGGTAGACGGCCACTAAATAAGCTGAATCCAGGCTCACCTGCACATATCTCCTGTATCTCTACTGAGAGAGGAATGAGGGACAGTCACCATCCTGTAACACTGTTTGTCCAATGGTGTAGACTATGGAGGAAAAGCAAACAGAATCAGGACAATTGTTTCCTTCCATTTTCATTAAAGTGTACATCAGTTACGGATTAAGTGTCCCGAATGCAAACACCGTTTCCTGTAGCCAAACAGATAGCTTCATTATGTTCAGACTATATCTATTCTATTGCAGTAATCTGTTGCTTTATTTTATAGTGTGATAAAGCTGGCATTAAATCTCTTCCAATTTCTGTATCCTGTAAATATTATTGCAAAGAGTGTATGTGCTTTATGTAGGTAATTTTAGTGTATTCTGTTATAAAGACGAACAAAGCATACCAACAAGCCTACTACATACATATTTTTATGCAAATACACGTTCTTCAACATTTATTATAAAACAACATTTCACCTATAAATTGTGCATCTGACATTGTCGTTGTGTATACGTGACTTTCTTGTTTCCTCCACCAATTGTCAAAGCAAGAAAATCAAAGGTGAACGGACATTGAAACACTGGAAAGGAGATAGCCTTGGGACATGTCAATTTGTGGATGTGATACACCCACAATTATTACCGTAATGATACAATATGTGATGACCTTTGACCTTTCCATGCCCCAACAGGTCACTTGTTCCACAAATTTGGCATCACCGAGTCAGACTGGTACCGCATCAAGCAAAGCATTGACTCAAAGTGTCGCACAGCCTGGAGACGCAAGCAACGTGGCCAGAGTCTGGCTGTCAAGAGTTTTTCCAAACGCACACCTCGCACTTCAGTCACAGGTAAAGTACTGATTATTATCAAGGGACTGTAAAGCATGTATTTGTCTGCGCTGCTGTTGTGTTGGGGAGAAGTAAGACATTCTCAGATCTGTACTTTCTGTGTCTACCGACCTTGGCACATGTGAACAAGGATGTGGTGTTTATGTGTCTATGTGTAGATTGTTGTGAAACTCAAGAAGTACATAATAACTTCATATTTAGATCTCATGTACCCTGAACAGTGAGGGTTGTAGTTGATTTTTAATACCTTTGATGCATTAACATTCATACTAAGGACATCTGATTTTCTTAAGATTTACTATATATGCTATAAGATTCAGACTTTATCTATATGCTGCTGCTGCTGCTGCTCGAGAGAGAGAGAGAGAGTGGCAAAAAAAGAAGAAAAAAAAGACACAGCAGAAAAGAGTAAAAGAATGTTGAAACCATAAATAGATTATGTGTAGTTCTCAAATCTAAGATGACCCTGCTTTTTACAACTTTCCAGTTACTTTCCAGAACAAAACATAGTTTTACATTTGGTCTAGGATAAGATATACTGTGTATCATCTTTATCACAAACATATCTGATAAAGCTTATCAGAGAACAAACCAGCGTAAGCAACATATAAAATACTAAGTTAACTATCATGACAAATACAAATAATCATGCAGATATAACATTTAATTGCAGAATGGTGAATTCCAAAATGATAAATATCACATTCAAGGCAACCTTTTTAAGCTTCTGAATATTTGTATTTAAGAAATCAAAGTACTCTGGAACCCTCTGACACCTTTCTTGTGAAATGCTTTGGGAGTGAGCATATTAAAACTTATCTCCATGGTCTGAGAAAACTTACCAACCTGGCTCCGCTCTCATAATTCTTTATCAGCTGATAACGTTGCTACGTTTCTGTGGTTGTTTTCTGATGAAACAAGATGCACAGTTACGGGAATCAACTACTGACCCAAAAAACAGAGTCATCTTCTGCTGTTTCTTTTGCTTACAAGCCAGTGATGCCACTACTGGTTTTCAGTTTCTATTGGCTTTAGTGGGGCAGCATGTGACATTAGGTGGTTGGTAGGTGAATTTGAACTGGTTCTCAACCAAGTCTTATCAGCTTCTTCACTTAACAGACAAAACTTTCTTATGGTTGCGACCAAAGTTTACTATAGATTGCTACCAGTGAAGTGTCACTTCTATAACACTTTACTGTTTAGTTCACCAACATACTTGCCATTAGTATTAACGCAGGTGTAAATTAATTTGGTATAAATTTTCAGTTGGTTAATTTTGGTATGACCTCTGAGCTTTTTCTCATTAATTGTCTGTTTTGCACCAATAGACAAATTATTTTATTATTTCTCTTTCAGTTCCTCTTCTATTCTATCCTCTATTTTATGCAGGAAAAATGACGATGCAGATCATCAACAAACATAGTCACCCACAAAGTGAACTAAGACAGGTCCTATTTCATCATCTATATGAAAGCTATTTCAAGACCTAAACCCAAATTCAGATGTGTGACAGTGTGAGTGTGTATTGCTGCAGATGGTTGTAATCTGCACACAATGCTTGCTGTCCTTCCCTCCCTGTGAGCAATCACCTCTCACCTCTGACCAGGGAAAAGTAAGACTGCAGGGGAAACCCAAATATCCTGTGAGCACACACGAGGGGTGGATTGTCAGACCCTGCCTCTTCAGGCCACACACACCCCAGAGTGTACAACACAAATACTAGTTCAGATTGTGCATGCACAAACATGCAAAGACATGCACCAAACAATCATTGCTTCCTTAATCAGATTACATGTTAATGGACTGGAAAGAGGCAATCCTTCTTCTTTTAAAACCCTTATTTACCAGTGAACCAGCAAGTAGAGCTCAGACCAAAACTGTAGTTTTCATAAGCCACCTGTGTCTTGCTTCCTGGTCTGGCAAACAAAAGTACTGAGGATTATCTCCATAATACAATACATAGCCGTAATAATGACAGATGGGAAACAGCCTTACTTTGCAAAGCAACAGAACGCAAAACAGAACCTTTGAGGTGTATGTGATATGTGTTGTATGTTTTATGTCATTTAAAGCTAGATTCAGTTTTTATTTTCGTTGTCCAAAAAATTGTCAGACTGCTTTCCTCTGCAAACTTAACAGCTGCATGGTTTGTTACAAGACGTGGCCTCAAATCCTTTCAGCTCTCACTTCTCCCAAATGGTGTTTTTATTGTTGCACATTTTGATGTCTTACAAGAGAAGGTGTAATTTTACTTGTTTTGTGGCCTGTGGTGTAGATTCCAATGTCACAGAGTGCTGTGCTGTCTTTGACTGCTGACATTGTGTCTGGATGTGTTCGGGTTGGTGTGTAGCTGTGACGGGTGGTGCGATGCGCTCATGCAGGAGTTTCAGACTGCTGGTGTAATAGCGGGTGTTTAGACTGAGGCCTGGAGTTTGTGTTTGGCTGCTGGACCATGAGTGTGTTTGGATGGCTATCTGGAGTCCTTGTTGTGTATTTAGGCGTTGGATGAAGTATAAACATGCCATCATCCAGCAGATGGCCTGGGAATTAGCCAGGTTTAAAAAAAAAATTTTTTTTTATAAGAGGCCCTTTGCATGATTGTGTGTGTGTGTGTGAATGTAGGGTGGGGACCTCATCCTCATTTCTGATGTATGCTGGAATCATACCTACTTCCACTATACATGAGTGCACCAATGACCATAATGCTTGTCCTCTTAACCAGAGGGAGGCCTCGCAGAAGAAACAGCCCACATTGAGACTGCCACTCAACAAACCTTGCACTACACGCTGGCCAATCAGCAGGTCCAATTTCACCGTATTGGCGAGGATGGACAAGTTCAGGTGGTGAGTATCAGACATTACATCCCTTATTCTTTCTCTGAATCAATGAGCAAACATTTTATTTACAGGCAAACACAAAACAAAGTGTCCTCTAACAGTCAAGAGAATCAGTCTTTATCTTCCTCTCTCACAATATGACAAATACAGTATTCTGCAGAAATGCAGCACAGCTTATGTCAATGAATGAGTGAAGCTTGACTCAGTCTTGTTTACTTGTTGTGTATTTCAGCAATCAGTGACAGATACACACACAAGCTGTGGAACTGTGTTTGACAGGATGGGTTTTTCATGAGGAAAGTGAATTAGATCGTCTTGTCCTAGTGCTACAAGTGCATTTGCCTGAGCTGCAAAGTTATTGTTGCCAACTAAAAAATGTAATAGTGGATGTAACACACAAACTACTATGTGAACATTAGAGAAGTAATTTCCGTTCTGCACCTTGACTTATTGATGTGCTCACTTTTTGAAATGACAGTGGCACAAAGCTACCTCATAATTTACAGTGTTGAGTATTTCTGTTGTTAATGGGTTGCTGGATGATGCATGGATTTGGAGGTACTGGTGATGAGTGACTCATATGTGAAAGGAAGGAACAGGCATAAAAGATAGAGGGCGGACAGACAGGAAGAGAAGTTAGGGAGAAGGTGGAAGAGTGGGAGAGAAAGATTGTCAAGAGCTCACTGTGCAGTTATTAGCCTCCCGACACTGCAGAGTATTAAAGGGTGCAGCTGAGCCTGAAATTTATGAGTACTGTTAGTACACCAGAGGAAATAAAGTATACTTACTGGCAGTGATACAGTCCTGTAACCTTAATTACCAAACAAAATTTGTATTGTGTTGTTGCCAGATTACACATACCACACAAGGGCTGCTTAGTAAATGAATTGCATTCTGGATGTTGCAGCAAAAAAATAAGCTTCAGACATTGGTTCAAAAATGCTCCAGTCTGTCTTAAAACAATACTTGCATACCCATATGAACATTAAAATTTTTTGTTAGTTATTTTCATTCCTCCTCTTCATACTGGCCATTTAAAAAGATGTCTTCCTATTATGATTTTGATGTAAGAGATGAAGGACAAAATCCACTGTCCTCATTCTGTGTAAAAATCTATTCATAAGTTTATCTGAAGCTAATATGATATGATGTCAGTAGACAAATCAAGAAAGGATATTCTAAAGTTACAGTGAATTTCATTGTAGTTGAAAATAATGTTAAGGATTTAAGGAAAACATGCCTTCATTTTACTGATATTTGTGAAATTGTTCCAGTCTCTATTGTCTCTCATCCTTCACCTGTGTCTTTCAGATTCCACAGGGTCAGTTGCATATTGCCCAGGTGCCACAAGGAGAGGAGGTGCAGATCACACAGGACAGCGAGGCAAGTGTGTGTGTGTGTGTGTGTGTGTGTGTGTGTGTGTGTGTGTGTGTGCACGCACGTGTTTGTGTGAGAGTGAGAAAGAGAAAAGAGAAACAATCAACCACTCCTTTTCTTGAGTCATTCTTCGTGTTATATAAAATTTCTCTGTCACTCGGGGGAATTTGTCTCCAAACAGAATATAACAGTGAAGTCATGCTTGAGAAAGAAGAGGTTTGTGGGGAAGAAAATGAGTCTTGTCCACTTTAGTGTGGGAATGTCAGTATGCAGTATGCTATGTGTTGGAAGTCTGGTTTGTAATTTGGTTGACTCCCCGTTAGCGAATTACTTGCATTATTTGACTGGCTATTTGAAATTATCCTTAATATTTGTGTGACCATGTAAGTTCTGCAAGTGTATCTGACATCTACAATACATCTGATTGCCTGCGGACAAAAGACAATTTCTGTTTTGCCTTTTCTAAATCAAAGTTTTTTGTCTTTATTTCGCAAGTGAATGGTGGAATACATAGATTTGACTTAATGTAGCTATTCATTAAGCTTTTTTGTAATCAACAATCAACAATTATGAACAAAGGGAATATAAACTTGATGTAAACTTTTTCAGGTAACTGTACGCAAGTGCATTTACTACTTAAACAATGTGGATGCTGAATGGGAAAATGACAACTGCGTCGGCCTGAAACTAGCAAAGACACTTGAGTTGCGCTTGGCGCTGCTTTGCACCGGGTGCAAGATAGAGACCCTGAACTACAGATACTGAGCTGACATTTCTTGTGAAATGTCCAGTGTAATCGGTAACACCGGTGTTGTATCAAGTTTATTACCCGATGGGAAGATTACCACACTATAGCCTCCCCAGCACATTACTCAACTAAGTTACAGTATTCTCGCCAAATATTCCTTCAGGAAAGGGCGGGAATACCTTTAGCTGTGTGGAAGAAGAATAAGTCTAACTTTCAGCTACACCCATTTCCATTTTTTTATGAATTTGCGATTGCGCAACTCATGTTTTGTAGACTGTCAACTAGTTTACTTGAAAAAGAAGGAGCCAAATAATCAAACTATTATTTTTCATTTATTTGTCAAATAAGTGTGGTTAGAATCATCAAGCATTTTTGTGGCTTTTGAGTCGTGCATGTTCTGTTTTCCCAATACTAACATCTATCCCAGTGAATGCCCCCAAGCAATATCTGACGTTAAGGTCATTAGTGAATTTTAGCAGATGTTCCGTATAGAACGTCTTACTGTTTATATATCTGCTTGCTTGTGCATGAGGCTATGACTTGTTTCTACATAATAGCATCTCTGCATGCTCACACAGTGTTGGCCTGCCAGCTGAAATCAGAATCTTAACTCCAAACCACACCGATTGCTGAAGAGGAATTTCCGCATCAGCATCATTGTTAATGATTTTTTCAAGGAAGTGGGAGAGAGATTTATTTCAAGGCGCCAGTCTGTGTACACAGACGCACACACATAATCACATACTGTATACGATACGTGCCTCACATGTATGACGGCTTGAATGTTATGCAAAAGCAATTGACACCTTGACCAAGTGTTTTTCTCATTTCCTCTTCAGTTGTGCTAAAGGACGCTCAGAGAGAGAAATGCACAATTGAGTGAGAGAGACGGAGAGAATTGGAGGCAGAAAAGCTCTAAAGCTTTTCCTGCTCTTTGTGGCTGAGCCCAGATTTTTTCCTCCTCCTCTCCTTCCCATTCCATGATATTGTTTGTTTTTTGGAGTTCAAAGCTTAGCAACAAAATCCCACTTCTCCCAACTGCCACTCACAGAATATGTTTTCATTAGGAACGGGCTCCTTTCATCATAGACATTGGTTTTAGCGTGCTTGAAAAGGAAATGAGCTGTTTGAGAGATTACATTGCTCTCTGGCCATATGGCAGTGCAGACAGTGCTGCATATATACATGAAATACAATTAGCAAGCGAAAACAGCTGAGACTTGGTGGTTGGCTAAATATGGCTTGCATGATGCCCTCTCTCATGTGGTCTTGTTAATAACTCTGCGGGTGTTCAGTGATTTTATGATGGTCATTGCATCCTGATGAGACTGTGATGGGCTTGTGCCTGTGCAAATGGGTTCTGTTTTTGTTTACAGGAGTCTTGGTGTAGCCAAAAATGACAGGACAGTTGACATAAATACAAGGACACTGCATCCACCTCTTATGACTTATGTCCCTTATGTCATCATGTGTTAACACTCCTCTGCCAAAACCCTGCATACTCAGAATCCTGTAAAAACAGTTCAAACTGTTCGCAGATATTGCCATTGTCAGGCAGCACATTGTTGATCACAAGAAGGACGGGTTCAGTTTAGCGCTACTTAATGGTTTGAATTCCCTTGTGGCGATGAAGGTCGTAGTAATCAGGTTAAGGCGTATAGGAGGACAAAGAAGTGGGCAAGATGTATTTTTTATGGCTTTACGTTTCCTAGGTAAAAGGCACCTAAATGTGAGTGGCAGCAGGATGATGTCATGACTTGTCATTTCTCTATTTCAGGGAAACCTCCAGATCCACCAGGTGCATGTCGGTCAGGATGGACAGGTAAGAACACATTCATAGTAGGCTAAATAAAAGTTACAATACACTAATATGCTGCAGACGATAAACCACATATTTACATCATTTCATACTAGTCCATCACAAACAAAGGCTGGATAACAGTAATGTGCGATGTGCGGTTTTGCTCAAGAAAAATGGCTGTCCAGCTTTATACAGAAGTCTTCATCATATCTTCTACAAATGATTCACGTGTCTCATGGTCCTAAACCCTACGGTCCGCATGAGCAGGCTCTTTTTATCTTCTGATTCTGCAGACATGAAGAAACATGGACAGGCATCAACCTTGTCCCTTTTATCCAAAACTCTAACTCTCTAGCCTTTAGATTAATGGTGGCAAATTGGTGCAGGATGCAAACTTTGAAAGTTTGTTAATGACATGACATGACGCTGATTCTGTCTATATATGTACACTTAATTCAATACCAACTGCACAACAGTCACTCACTAGTCCAATTAGAATGAGGGATAATACTTTCCTCAAAAACACAATATACAGTACCTAACACCAAATAGCAACCACTAATTAATGTTTTACTACCAGGATTCCAATTAACACACTAAAGTGGAGTGATACTGTATCTTTGCTTCTCTTCTTACATTACAGCCTTCTGTGGTGGTTCTGAAAAAAAGCTGTGCTTTTTTTAAAAACATTTTTGCCATATCTACTTGAGCAGTCATTGCACAACAGCTTTTTACCATTTTAACTATGTTTTCAGTGTTTGTTTTTCCATGTGACTGCACCCGGCAGATGCTGGATGTTTTTGCCATTCAGGGTAGTGACCCTTGGTGACTTCTGTGTATGGTGATGTCGTCCTCATGCCCTCTGCTGTACTGTCACTGTGAGTGTGGTGACCCTGAAGTGGGTGTGTTAGGAATATTTTTCTGAATAGTTTTAAGCAGTTTACCCAATGCAGCATTCATGACCACACCTGGCAAACAAATATTAGACCAATGTCCATCTTCCAGTTTATTTTGAGGACATCTAGATAGTACTAATAGAAAGAGGCAGCTGGTGAAATAATATGCACTAGAAACCACAGGTATATACACAATAGATCTTGAAAGTCCCTGACTGATCGTATTTCCACCGTTGCTCAGCAGAATGCCATGTGACTGAGTTGGAGGTTCACCATTGGCCCTTGCCCTTTCAGAATGATTTGGTGCAAACAGGTTCTATTAGGAGGGCGTTTACAGCCTGCAGTCTTGCCAATTTAGCACATTTGTTACTAGATTTGGAGACTTTTTTCAGTCAAGACAAGATATAAACCTGGTACATGACTGGACTGTGTATTGATGCCAACTGTTGGCTTACGGCAATGCCTCTTGTTACAGACAGTCACCCAGCCGCCCGGGTTTCTTGGCTGCTCGGGAGCTGCAGAGAAGCAGAGTAGCACTTTCAATTTACTGAGCCTCATCCCATTACAGCAAATAACCTACTTTCATGGCATGTATCATTATTACTAAAGGAGGCAGAGGAATAACTAGACATCATCCACTGCAACGCTAGAAGGCTTTTAATTTGAAATGATTACAGGAAGTGTTTAGTTTGTATTAACATATAATGCATTAAATATAACACAGCAAACAGGAGCAACTGAAAATGAGGCTTCATACTAAAATGCCATTATGACCAATTCTGCATGTCAAGCAAGACCAGAAATCAAGACCTTCCTCTAATACAAGTTTGCCTCAAATAATGACCTGTTATCTTCTGCAGTTTTGGATCCCAGACGGAGGCTGTGTGTTGTGTGAGAGACCAAATAAGAAAGTTAAAATACTGTATCTGTGAGCATAGAGTATAGGAGAGAAGCAAACGGATAAAGGGCTGAAACCGGCTGACACCAGGCAGAATGCAAATAGGATGCGATGATATCAATTTTGCACATTGACCATATGCGGTCCAGCCATATACTAGGTTTTGACCTAGTTTTGTTATTTATTTGTATTGAACTAATATTGTATAGGAGATATAAGTTCACTGTTTAGTGAGGCTGAAAATATAACCTACTTTCAGTACAACTTGGATGTCATTCAGCCTAATTTTGCTCATGATGGTGTGCTCAGTAAAGTTTTTCCCTAAGTGCACTGGAGAGCTGTCACCCAAAACAAAATAACACTGTGATACTGATCTGTAGTTGCCTGGAAGTCTGCATTGTGGAAGTATTTTTGAAGTATTGGTAGGTAAACCTACATAAATGTGTATCATGATTTCAATCTTGGTTTATAGTTACATTGCCAGTTATATTAAAACGTGTAGTAGTTATGAAAGACTTCTAAGTTTTATATAGTCAAGAGGGTACAAAGTCAGAACGGAGAGACACAGGCAAATGTCATAATATGGTCAGTTGGATGTGTATCAGTTGGCTTAAACTAATCACTTTTTTATCAGCTCAAGCCTCCTGTTTTTCAAAATTGTGAACCTACCTTTTGCACTGTTGCAATGTGGCTACAATCTGTAAAGCTGCAATCCATAATTTTTTTTCCAGAGTACAGAAAAGATGAAGCAGTATCTAGTGATGCACTTGTGAAGCTGTGAAGAAACCTCATTTTTATGCCTCTGCACCAGCGACAGCCGTGGCTGGAGGCATTATGTTTTCAGGTTGTCCGTCTCTCCCACGTCTCGTGAACGCAATATCTCCGGAACGCCTTGAGGGAATTTTTTTAAATTGGGCACAAACATTCACTTGGACACAAGGATAAACTGATTAGATTTTGGTGGTCAAAGGTCAAGGTCACTGTGACCTCACATGACACGTTGTTGCCCATAACTCATATGCAAATTATGTAACAATTTAACACAAATGTCTAATAGGATAAAATGATGAAGTGATGACATTTTATATCCAGACGGTCAAAGTTCAACTTCACTGTGGCATAAAGTTCTACAAAATAACATCTGGCCATTATTCAGCTCTGTAGCTCAGGAAAAGAAGGGGAGATTGTGACCAGATTTCCTGCAACTTGACTGGTTGGCGGAGGCATAGAACCGTGAGATGGTACACACACCTGCACAGAGACTTAAATGTTCTTTGTGTCCTCCCAGTGTCTTTGTCTGTGTTCAGCCCTCTCCCCTCCTCCATCTCTGTCTTGAATGTTTCGGACCAAGGACCTTTCCTGTTACTCCGTTATCCAAGCTCTGATATCCAAGCGAGTCTCGATCAAAGCAGAGCCGCCCTGTGTACCATTTCAGGCCGCATATGGACGGTGAAGACCAACACATAATTTCACATTCATGATTTCATCATGTTTGTCTGGAAGTAAGGCTTTAGGGCAGGAAGTTCTTTCTCACGCTGCCCATCTGGTGATTAAACTGTTTTGTGGCATTTTGTTACAACAGGTGTTTTTATGTAACAGCCACTAGAGGGTTTTTTCCTCCTAAAATGTGAATGCAGGATACACACGTTCACTTTTGGGGTCATTACTAGGAAATTACTCATTATCATTTCATTCCTTTTTTTTTTTTGAAGGCAACCAATTCCACCTTCCCCACCACTCACCTCTAGAGAAGACACACATTTATTAGATCACTAAATGTTTTAGGGCTCCTCATTCATTCAGGTGATTTTATGCTGCACCTGGTGTCATGTAGCCTCATATTTCTGGTATATTACTTTGTAACATGACTGGTGTAATTCTGCTGCTTATCCAGCACTCGTTGCAACAGAGGATAAAATACGATAACTTTCCGAAGTTGTAAAATTCTTTCTCATAGTATTATAAACCACTGTACAGTGTTTTGGCTTCCAATCAGCCTCCGAAGTCATGGAACTATTACTCAAATCAGCTGTACTGGATCATATTTCATCATCTCACCAGTACCTTAAACAGGACGCCTCCACCAATGTAGCCTCTTGTGTTTGAAGGCCCAGTAAGACCACATTACTTCCAAGGTTTGTAGTAAAAATAGTCAAAAATAGACTCCGTAGCCATAAATTCAGACTTTCTGAGTTGTATTTGCCACTTTGTTGGCTCACTCATATGCACCCTTTTCATAATTCAGAAATATTTGGCATGAACTGAAGGAAGAATAAGACGAAGGAGATTTTTCCATCGATATTATGCCAATGACAAGACTTAAGAGGCTTAAGAGTGTAACTCAAGTAACAACCAACTTTTTTTCTCTGAGTAAATTAATTCCTTACTTTGTTTCATTGCAGTAAATAGTAATGTGATTACAAAAACGCTGCTTTGTAAGGAATTACTGGACCTCCAACAGTGCGTTTGAAAATTAACACATTCACCCTATGCACTGTAATATGTCAAAATCTGGAGTGAAGGAGGAGTTACAAGCCACCCACCAACTGGAACCATGTGCTTTGGGCTTCTCATTTCTTCATTTTACAGTCTGCTTAAGATCTCTATCATCTAATTTGCCGATAGGTTCAAGGCACTGTTGGCTATCTGTTTGCGCGCATATTTGTGATGTGTGAATGCATCTGCTTTATATGAGGGTTTTCTTTTGTTGTTTGTGTTTTTTTATTGGCTGTTTGGTTCCGTGTGTGTTTTCAATTGATTGAGGTAGTCACCACACATCCTCTACTCTTCTCTCTCACACACTCATAAACACACATGCATGCTCATGTCCTCGGATGACCTACTTTGCTAAGCCTGACACCAGCATTCCTCTGTCTCTCTCTAGGATCTTTGAACAACTTTTGGCCAGAGTTTGGTTTAGATTTTGCACAACACACATTTCAATCAGTTCTTCATATCAGTTCACAGAGCAGATAAAGTGTGTCTGCAGAGTTCCACCAGCTTTATCTGATTTGTTCTATTGGGAATATGTTATGCCATGCACAATATGCATTAACAACATGCACTTTTTGAAACTGCAGTGTGGAGTATGTATAGGCATTAGTTCCTTGCAAATAGACACCAAAGCGTCCCAGGATGTGAGAACTAATGACTGCAGAGCACAAAGGCCTCTATTCCCTTGGCTGTGTCTGGGAGCCTAGTCCAATAAAAAGCTCTTTTATTTTCCC